CTTTTCATGAAAAGTATAAAACGTTAACTTTAAAAGTATTTACTTTGTAGCATATTTAGTTTTTCACTTGCAATATTGATCTTTAAAAGTGTGCATTGAGCACAAAAAAATCGAAATTATTCCGTGTCAACTAGAATCATAAGTATTTCTTCTTTGGACATAACGTAATGTGTCAACCTGAGTTGACAATTTGTTCCTTCCAAACATGGAAAAAGTAAGTTTATCATATATTATTTTAGCAAAAGTAATAGTACCATGTAAAATTAGACGAATAAGTTTTAACACCAACATTTATTCGAGTTGGAACTAGTGTCAATCAAGTTTAACATATTTTACGAGACCTTAGATTTATTTTTTGTTTTCTTATTTCTAATTGCAGCATAACAATAGTACAAAGCATTGTTTAATTGTGTACGGCAAAATCAGAACCAATTACTTGCGAGAATATTTTTTACGTAGGATTATTTAAAAAAGATTCGAATAGTGTCTTTCCGATTGAATTCACTTCATTGTATAAATATGTATACAGCAAACATTAAAAATTAAAAAAAAAAACTGTAGGGCACTTATTTGTTACTCATTACAGAAAAAATTACACGTGTACCTTTACGTCAGTTTTTTTTTTCCATTTAGCTTGGTTACTTTTTCCTTTTACTCAGCGAAATAAGTTGAACTTTTTTTATAAGGATGGTAGGTGCCAGTGGTACTTTAAAATGCAATTCCGACTTTTCTGTGGTAGAGAAAGAATCTTACGTTATCCTGCCCGATATAATTTACATACGATACATTCTGACGTGGATTACCAAGAGTATAGTAATCACAGAGTGCAGTGTATACCCGGACTTTTCACTCTTAAATAGGTGTAACTATTATTTTTACCGACAACACAGTTTTTTAAATCTATTTCACAAATAACTTTCCAAAAACATTGAATGAATCGCTTTATGAAGTAATTGAAATGATTTTCTTTCTTTTTCGCCGGGAATACAAACAAAACTAGTGCATCATTTAATTATCTTTTTATGGCAACACGGTTGGATATTCACTGAATTCTATATAGTTATTTTCTTTCGAACCGAATGAAGATACTTATACTTCTCTAGTAGTTATTGCGTACGTCAAATTATCATGACTCTACTGTTAGTGATATACTGGACATACTTTTTTATACACTTTTTTTATGTGAATGAATTTTTAGTAATTTATACCTATATTTTCCTTTGCGATTTTCTTCCTTCAAGCGCCAAATTGCATATGACTAGTGTTATTCATTTTAGAAATATTATATACATATATACTATTGGTTATTGGTTATTTTTACTATTAACTATTTGATTATTTTTATACTCAACAGGATCGCAGCTGGTCTACTATCATCGTTCATCAACACGTTTGGAAGTATAAAACGAGGTTACAGCTTCTTGGGTGGAAAGTCATCGGAGAGTAACCACCGTTGCTTGATATGTGGGTCGATGCTTCACACAGAGGAATCTCTCGAAGCTCACGTAAATTTCAGGCATTACAATCCCTGCATAATTTGTGGGCATATTTTTGAACAGCGCGACAAACTTTTAATGCATATCCGAAGTCACGCCGAAAATGAGAATCGTGACTGCAATATACCAGGACTAGACGATATTTTCAAATGATGTGTTTTCATGTACGAAAAAATATTCATGTACACGACAGTTGCAAATAAATTCGTAAACCATGAAAAATTTTAATTCAGGCATCATCCAACTAATTTTATGTACACTCAACTGCCTTATACAAAAGTACGTCTTCTTTTACAATTGATTATTCATGTTGTCTAAAATAAGTCGAAGAGCATCTGCTTTCAATGTAACGGGAGTTCTTTGGCAAAATAAAAATGCAGAAATCGCAGAAATTACAATTTCTGGGCTCTACAGTCACTTGCTGTTAAACTTTCTTTGAAGAGAAAGTATTATTGTGGTAAAAAATAATCAACATTTTGTTCAGTTGTTGACAAAAATTTTACGCCACTAAAGCAATCACACTTGATTAATAAATTTTGATGGGTGAAATCATTTGATGTAAAAAGAAATTTATGGTAAAAGTACTATATCTGTTCATTAGTAATCTAAATAATTGAAAAAAAAAAAAAAAAAGTTTTACAATTTGTAATTGAGAGACCAGTGTTATATTGAGCGTTGCAGTACAATAAATTAATGTAATAATATCAAGTGCATCAAAACTTGCATTTAGGCGTGCAAGTTTACGCACACTTTGTAATAATAGATCTTAATCGTAAAAAATTATAATGCTCTTGAATGCTTAGAAACACGCGCTTCAAGCCTGTAATTATTAATTGCGTAAAGTTACAGTGAGACATTTATACATCCCTGATGTTTACATATCATGTCCCAACTTTTAGACCCAAATCGACATAATTAATGTTACATTTATCTCATTAGGCATGTTTTCCTAATTATACGTAGCATGACGTATCAACTTTCATTAGACCAATCGAAAAGAAGTGCCACTCAACTGTTGTCTATTTGATAATTTCATTGTGAAGTGTAAGAATCGATACGTTTTCCTTATCACATTGGTAATTTTACGGTGCCTTTTATCAAAAGTAGAGATATATCGATCCACAATATCGCGTGCCTTGTCCGCATTAAGTACCCACATCGGAAATTTGTTCGATCAGTTTGTTTTTTGAATCTCCCTCATGAAATATTTCACCTGTGAAATGACTATATAAACTACAAAGAAAATATTAAAAACTGGATGCTGAAATATTTAATAAGCTCGACCGTGTATTGCAGGTATACTGAATTGATAATGAGTCCGTTAACTGTACGGAAATCGATGTTTTGCTTAGCAAGAAGAACGTAAATGTTTCTTCAAATGACACAAAGACTATACGTCGATACTCTCGAAAACAAAGAAATTAAATTATACTATTACGTTTTACACTTTTGTCAGTAAATTTTTTTTTTCTTTTTAAATATCATGTCGTTGTCGGTCGTTGATGATGCGAAAACACTGAAGTACACCTGACGATGAAAACCTTTTAAATGTGCCCATAGAGTATTTTCAATTTTATCAAAGTGCATTTGTATTTGCGCAAACCACTGGTACACAAATGAGTTATGAAATGCAAACCCATCAGAGCTATCAAACTAATTGGTTTGCAAAAACCACTTTGATAAGGAAAAAGAAACATCCACGATTACTTTTTATGCAATGATTAAAAGCGCATGTAACAGGCAAATAAATATTGCGCAAGTGCCATTAAAATGATTGAAAATATAATATTTAACATCAACGATGTGAATCATTTTTTTTTTCCAAACGATCCAAACTGACACCTTATCGTCATAGAGTAAAAAAGAAAAGTGATAAAAAAATATTTCAATACGCAATTATAAGAAATTACGGCCTGTGTATATATATGTAGATGTATATACCTACTCTCTCGATAAAGATAAAGTGTTAAATGCAGACCACGCGAGTATCAACGGGCATGAAAAATACAGGAGGAGACAGAGATACGGAGAAAGCTCCGGTGTTGGAGACTTCCACGTATATATACTTCTCCACGTAACGTAACACTTGATCATCCCTTATAATACATTCGCGCAATGGTACGATTACGCGAAAATAGATCCCGGTGAGCATGTGTTGAAAATGGGTGCGAAATCGAGAGCAAAAACACAGGGATGAATCATACTGTAAACTGTATAGATATTATACTGAATATATATAGGTAGGTATATTAGTGCGTGGGTGGTCGTATACGTAAAAGTCAAGTATTAAATTATTGTCAATGTTCGTCATCCAAAAGATATATTGCGACCTCGTTATTATATGCATGTTACAACGGTAAACTCCAAGTGATGTAGAGTGGGTGCAGTAAAGCCGTTTACTTGTATGACGTTGAAAGTGTCAAATGTGGGAGTAATTTTCGAGGCTCGGTTATTTTAACGTTTTCGGAGACGCACGGTTGGAAAATGGCTAGTTTTAATTTGATCAAATGACACGTGTGCAGAGTATGTGCTAATCGAGACGGCACATGGAGTAGCAATAAAAAGTTACATTGTAAAATGGAATCTTCGTGTTATTTCAGTGTGTCGAATTCGACGATCCACACCGTGACGTTTTTGCATTTAATTGCTACGCAAAGAAAAGAAAAGTAGTGTAATATTCACCATAGATGTGAAATGATAACTGATTTTCGTTACGAGTACAATAATAATTCAACGCAAATAAAACTCCTCATCACAACACGAGTGTGTCAAGTGTCCCAAATAAAACGTTAAGATCTTTATCGAGACACTCTTCTCTGAAATTATTCCAAAAGCAAAACAGTTCGATTATAAGCTGTTACATGCAATTCTACGGCGTAAGTACGGAGATCACTACAAACGCGTGTGAGTACTCGCTGTTTTTTTTTTTTTTTTTTTTTTTTTGTTCTGTCAATTGAAACTACTGCAGTGATAAGAGAGAATAAGAGAAGGGGATACGATAATAGCACTAGAGTACAACGTGATTTCGCATAATACAATACGTAACAGCCGTCGCGCGTCAGCTTAAAATAAAACGAAACTCATGAAAACGGTGCGTATATGTAGTTGCAGATAATATGCGGTGCATTAAATCAGCACTTCCTTTTCAATTTATTGTTGCAACTTTGCCTTACATACATACATAACATATACCTATGCACGTTGCTGAGTTAGGTGCAATTTATTGGATATCACGTGCAACGCGTGTGCGTATGTGACAAAGTGCATCGCGTTTAGAGTCGAGGGAACTGCGCGCAGTCGCAATTTTAGGTCAATACAATCAGTCGGAAATTGCGGTCTCGAAAGATAGGTTGAGAAAGTGCGCCCTTTTAGCTCTCATTTTTTTTACATACACCGATCGTTACCGATCTCCCCTCGATCTTTTCGATCGTTCATCGGGTAAGTATACGTACATACTCAAGACACGCGGGCAAAAAAACAAATGAAAAAGTAAAAACAACTCACATCCCCTTAGCGGCGCGTCAACGTCGTCGTGCCGTCTGGTGGCGTTACCCGGCAAGTACCTCGTCACATCGCACTTGGTGTCCGCGTCCACCGGCGCCCTCCTGGCTCGCTGAACGGAAAACCCGTGCACCCGGTGCTCGCGACCGGTCCAGCAGAGCAACACGAGCAACCCAAGCCTCCACCAGCCACTCGACGACATCCTCGCAAATCGTCCTCTTTTCCCCCCTCTTCGGGACGACCTTCACTCTCTGCCGCACACGTGCACCCGTATATTCGCCCGAGGGAGGTCAATGTCCTCTCTCTATCTCCCTCTGTTACTCTCCCTACTCGTGTACCGACCGCAGTCTCTTTTGCACCTTGCACACGAAGGGGAGAAGAGAAGAGCCGCTGCACCAGCTGATCGGCCGAGCGCTCTCGCACATGTACCTATATACACACGTATACGCGCTCTCAGCTGTCCGCGGACGTGTATCTTATCCGATTTTTCCTTTTGCTCCTTCTCCTCTTCTTCTTTCCCCTGTATGTGTATACGGGGCTGCAGCTCGGCTTATCACTCGAGGTTTTTCCCCACCGCGCACTATTTTCTTCTACACGGTAATGGTAGTGGTGGTGGTGGTCGTGGTCCGTTGTTGTTTAACGATTTTACAAAATCACAGTGGATACGCACAATAAGCACATTGACGATGAAAAAAACAACGCGCACCAGTATATAAGTACACGCGCGCGCGCTCGCGGGCTTTTGCCAAGTAGGTTCGGAGTGAAAAATCGTCAAGGGAACCGCGGGCTTCGGGGCGAAAATCGTACACACCCGAGGCTGAGGTCGACCCACGCGCAATCAGATGACACTCGCGGGGGGAGTCGAGCTGTCACGGAAAATCGGCACGGGGGTCTCTCGACTTGACATCGGCCGTTGAAAACAACAACAAAACAAACGAAAAACCGCCGATCATGAGGTGTCGATACGCGCGATCGGTTGAAAAAAATCGGCAAACGATCGGTTACAGGTGAATCAGCGAAATTAGCGCCGATTCATACAAGTATTTATACATTTATGTGCGTCAGATGTTGTGTGGTGCATACAAGTATATTGACAAATACACATATATGTATGTACGCGCGGGTCCCGGTGCTCTTACTGCCGATCGCGGCGAGCGGACGAGAGAGACTGGCTGGCTGGCTCCGCGAAAGTCTCTCTCGCTCTGATGATGGTGTTATAGCTTTGGAGTCTGTGCCGCCGTTGCCGCCGCTGATGCTCTCGCCCTTTCTCTCTCTTCCTTCCCCTCGCGCGCATCGGCAAGTGTGTATATAATATATGAAGGAAGCGCTGAGGGTGGCGGTGGAACGAAGGAGGGTTACTCGAATGTATAGACGCTCGGTGGGGTTCCGCAAAAAATCGTATCTGCGAGTAATCGGAAAGCGAAGCGATGCCTACAGTATGGGGAATGGTTTCGGGATTTGGAGGAGCTTTTGGGATTTGTTTTTCGAGCTTTTTCCGGCTTTCTTACCGATTTTCGGATCATTTCGAGTGATGAATATTTTTCACTTGAGTTCAGTATCATCGAAAGGCTGTACAATTACCTCGAGACAACATAATTTTTTTCTTTTTTTTTTTTTTACCCAAAATATCTAAAAAAAAGTTCCTTTACCCAATAAAAATTAAATTTGCCGAAAAGTTCATCAAAAAAGCTCGATTTTTGTCGCACGTGAACCCACGCAAGTGTGTCGTACCTACACCCTCGAAAAATGTCACCGCAGCTGCGTTGTCAGGCATTCAAAAGTTCATAATTAATCAGCTCTACGTCTGGTAAAAAATGAAAAACCGATTCAGCGTACTCGTTTCGAAAAAAAGGGGGTTTTAAAAAAAAGCTTTTGGGGACTGTTCTCACTTTTTTTGCGGAATAGATCCTACAACTTTCCTGCGCTTCTCCTCACGGCGTGCCTTTGGTACGCCGTCTTCCTCGCACTCCTACCCTGCTTCTTACAATAGAGTGTGCAAATTCAAAGTGTGTGCATATGTGTGCACGTATATGAGGAGGCGTCCCCTCCTCTCTCTCTCTCTCCCTCCTGACATTCGTCATTTGCGCTTCTTCTACTTCTTTCTCGCTTACATGTAAAAGCACAATATATATATATACATATATATATGCACACTTGTGTGTGTGTGTGTTGACTGTCTGTGAAATGTCTACCTCTGATGTTCTGAAGGAGAGCGCCTATATATGTTCCTCGGTGTCGTCACGCATATATACACTCCGATGCGTAGGGGCTGGTATTACGATAAAAAATAATTTTTTTTTTTTTTTTTCTAATTTGTGTGCGGGTATTTTTTTTATCCAATAAGATGAGTTGCAGGAGAAAGGAGGATATAGAATTTCCAAAAAAATCCTTTCTCCCTTGGTTTGTCCTTTTTTTTTCCTTTATCTTCTTTGAAGTACATGGGAAAGGTGGTATTGGATGATTTTTTAAGTGTTGGTTTAGCGCGTGGAATATTAGGATACAGGAGGGTTTTTTGGTTCTTTCAACCTACTTTTTTTTTTTTTTTTTTTTTTTCGCGTTGTTAAAGCATATCGGGGACGGTCGTTTTATTGCTTGCGAAGTTTTTGAAGTGTGTTTATACACGCGAAACGAAGTGAGCTCGGGCGGTCGGGTTTCGCGATTCCTTCGCGATGGAATTTCGGGTTTCCAGAGGCTTGTTGAGTTTTCCGCTTCGCTGGTCACACAGTTTTTTGATGATGCTGGCGGCCTATTTGATATTTTTTTCTTTTTTCTTCGGTGGCCGTTGAGTTTTTTTTCTTTTTCCTCAACTGTTTACGTGATGCCTAATTAATAAATCTGTGTTACAATACAAGGGGCATGGACTGCAAACGTATTATTGCAATAACATGTTTCGACATTTATACATTTTACAATCGCCACTGTGACACATAATGTAGATAACATTCTTTATGTTGTAACAGAGTGTGAAATATCAATTTTTTTAAATCTCGGACGATAGTGTGATACAAAAATGTTTTATTATGCATGATGTTACTTACAACCACATACACACACGCTTCTACTGTAACCTGTAAAAGTTACAATGAAAATATTAATTTCAATCGCAACAAAAAAACTTAGAAAATCAACGAAAAACAACGAATACGCCCTTCTAAATATAATAACGCTTATATGGAATAAAAAAGCGATTTAAATGTTAATTCTTGAGTTAGCTCTCACGTATACCCATAGGTTTAATCGCTCCGATATTTCAAAACTATACTGTGATATTATCATCAACGCAATCACAAGCTCGTATTCCAATCACTTTTACTCTCTCCTTTCATCCCCTCTATCGCAACAAAACTCGGGCCAAAGTTAATTTTCGCCAAGTCACACACTATACGCGTCACGTAACGCGAGGGGCTCGAATCGACGTACAGTCGCTCTCCAAACAATTATCCATGCACGGCTGACAATTGCCCTCCCTTATCTCCGACCCTCCCTCTATACACAGTCACTCTGCCAACATCGCCCCCCTCAAGTGCAAACCTTGCCTACGAGCGTCCCACAATATGTACACCTTCCTCCCCCAAACTGGGTTACTCCCTGCTGAAGCTACGCCCGATGATGAACTATACAAATCCAAACTGCAAGAGCATCGTCACATACTGCAGGTATACCTCGCCGAAGCGAGGCGGGAGTCTCCTCTTCCCCGGCCCCCTTTGCAATTCATTTGTTATTCCCGGCCCATACGAATTACCCTCAGCGTGCATGCAATGCGACGTGTAATTTTTCGAGTTGCACGATCCTCTCGTTCTCTTTGTTTTTTCGAGCGTCCCCCTACCACCCGCATTCCTTTACCGGTCGCTCCTTCCCCTCTCTCTCAAGCGATCCTTTAATTGTATCGAGAGGTATGTATCTCTCACGTCCTCTCTCTCTCTCTCTCTCTCTGTCTCTGATGGTTGGTTTTATCCGCTAAGCACTGAGTTTGCGAGAAACTACCGACTGGCCATTATTTATTTTTTTTTTTTCCTCCTTTCCGCGGGGCAGATGAATCGGTGCGATGCTAATTTATAAATGTTTTTTTTTCTCGGGAATACACGAGAACTCGGTCCCGTAAACTCTGTGTGCACTGTTAATTATACCGAAATGACGAGTCGAGAGGATGGCGCGTTTTACTCTACATTGCAGTCACGCGAGCTTCCGCGAAAAACTGATCTTTTTTTTTACGTTTCTCCGTTTGATTGGTAGGGATTTCTTTTCCCTCCCACGAAGCTGTAGTTTTCTCAGGCGAGTGTTTCGATCGACATCCGTTGAAACTTTGATTTGAAAATCACTCGGATGATAAAGTTCAAATGGTCGTATTGTTGGCATGTGCTGTTTATTACAATAATCAACCTACATTTATCAATAGAGAAGGAAAGTTTCATTTTTTCTTAGGCAAAGTGAAAAAATACTATGAATATTCTTTGTATAAAAATGTGTATAAAAAAAGCCTTAACGTACATTTTCATTTTTACAGCTACAAGTAATTGTTTAATTAACTTAGTGTATGGAAAGATAAACTAACGAGCGTAACGGCGTTCACTCCACCATGATGATCTTCGTCCTGTTTGCGTTGACGTGCCACACGTTCGAATTTTCATACAAATCGATCACTTCATCGATCTCGTTTGGCTTGAATCCCTTGGTCAAACAGCGATCCTGGATATCAAACACGCGAACCTCTTTTTTATTACCAGCTAGTTCTTTAATGATATTAAAGATCTTAGTTCTACGCTCTTGATGAGGTTTCGATCTGATCTCGTCAAAGTGGTTGATTGAAGCCTTGGACTCGACGACCAGTTGAATGGCGTGATCAATATCCTCTTTGACCACCAGAGGGGACAAACGTAATCGAGCAAGTGCTGTGGATAAACGTAAAATTCCAAGGAGATTACGCGGAGATGTGAAAGTTTTGTCCCTGAGGTTGCGCGCTTCTTTTCTCAAATTTACGTATTGTTCTGCAATGATAAGATTTTGTTAGTTGATACTTGTACATCAACTTTTAGGTTCATAGATATCGGTAGAAAGAAGAGTATGAACTAACCAGTGATGTATTCGTTTAGATCCTCTGGAACGTAAGGATTCACCGTTTTGCATATTTGAATGTATTTTCTTATAAGTTTCATGTCCATGACTTCATTTTCAGTTTGAGGCTGTTGTCCATGTAGATGGACGTACGTGATATGCTGAGCCAGTCTGTGAATTTAAAAACAAAATTGCATTTATCAATGTTAGTAGTTGTCTTAAGGACCATTGATAAAACTTACTTGAGATCGTTATCTCTGTTCGCTGTATCTTGTAAAAGCCAGAGCAGATCAAATCTGGACAGCAACGCAGCTGGCAGCTGAACGTTTTGCTCGATTGACAATTTCGTGTTGTATCTCCCATAAGCTGGATTGGCGGCAGCAAGAATCGAGACACGAGCGTTCAAGCGAGCCATTATACCGGCTTTAGCTATTGAGATCGTTTGCTGCTCCATGACCTCGTGGATGGCAGTACGATCGTGCTCAGCCATTTTGTCAAACTCGTCGATGCAGCAGATTCCTTGGTCAGCCAACACAAGGGCACCACCCTCGAGCACCATCTGGTTGGTCAAGGGATCTTTCATGACCGCCGCGGTTAGACCTACACCCGATGAACCTCGGCCAGTCGTGTACTGAGAACGAGGAGATAGACGCGTGATGAAAGAGAGCAGCTGCGATTTGGCCACTCCTGGATCACCCATTAGACAGATGTTGATGTTTCCTATTCGACACGTAAGTCATTAATTCTACTCTCAAGACAATGTTAGGCTAAACAAGCTTAATTATAATTTACCTCTTATTTTAATATCGTTTTTCTTTATATTAGTTCCGCCTACCAGTAGCAGTAAAAGAGCTTTCTTGACACCCTCCATACCGTATATCTCTGGTGCTATTGATTTGGCTAATTTATCAAAAACACCATCCTCAGAAAAGAGAGCCACTTCTTCTTCAGTCAATTCATTAGGTGACTTATCATCTTGAGCCAGACTCCGATTTTCTATTATCTGAAATAATTTTAAAAGTAATGTTGGGTTGCACTAAAAAAAAAAAGTTTCTAAATGACTTGATTATCGAAATATCTTACATGAGCATCCAGATAAGTATCACTCAAGAGACCAGATGCTTCCCTTTCAGCAAAGCCAGTTTTCAATATTGGCAAATATATTCCAGTGGCTACGATGTGATCTCCAGGATGACACTGTCTGGTAACTTCTCCTCTACAATAAATAGTCAAAGATCTTGGGATATGACCTACCGGTACTTGATCACTCTGAAATGTAAAATATGCATTTATTTGTAAAAACATTTTGTCCAGCTACCGATAATCTTGGTGTAGACGGTAACTCACATGTTCTTGAATTCTAACTTCTTGAAACTTGGTGAACCGAGAGCCCTTGGTTTGCATGTACAATCTGCCACCAGACTTATTTACGCGACAATCATCACTGGGACAGCTCTGTAGAGGCGTGTAAGACATAGAAGATACAGACTGATAGGTTTCCGCGCCACACTGATCACAAGTGTAAGTGGCAACAATTACCAAGGGCTTAACTTCTGTTGCTCTGATGACAATACCTCGAATCGTCACCAATTGGCCAATATTCGCTGCCATCACATCTCTGACAGAGAATGACTTGGCGTCGTTGAAATTTTTGAAATATATCTCACTGTTGCATTGATAAAAAATTTTTCAATTAGTTTCAGATCCTTGAAACTTTAATTCAAGAAAATAGCTACAAAGTAATAATTATATATACAATCGTCTCATCAATTCAAGAGGATACTTGTTTCTGGGATCTCTTTGCTCTCCTGGATGCTGATTTCTCGCTTCCATTAACAATCGATGCTCAATATAAATATCCAAAGTATCTTTGGCTACTACTGGCCTTTCTTTGAAATCAGGCAAGATTTCTTGAACGAGCTGTAACAAAAAGTGCACTCAGCTACTTGTCAAAAAACGAAACTTTACCAAGCTTACACTAAAAAATGTATCCAACTTATACTTACATGTAAAAGTAAGTTGATGTAGCGACGAGAATTCTGGGATATAGCTTCAGCAAGCTCTTCGTCGAAATCCTTGACATCATCCAAATCAATGATAAAAGCAACTTGCTCCCTGTGTGCTATTTTTGTCAACTGTTGCCTATACAAGTAGAACTTGGTGCCTGTTTTCTCATCCATTTTCATATACTCGGTAAGGAACAACTTGAGTTGCTCTAAAAACAAACATTTTTAATGAAAAAACATGTACATGAACACAAAACCCACAGTTCACATCGAGCTCAGCTTATTATTTACCCTTGTCCTTATCGTAGTCTCTTGAGGCTTTTGGTGCCATTGTTGCAGATTTCTACAAGCTTTCGAAATAAATAACTGATGTGTGCAAAATAGTGGTCAATCAGAACAATGAAAAAAACGTCAATCGAACACGTAATAATATCACACTATACGCATGTCTTTTTCTTCTGTCTGTCGTTATGTTCCCGCGAAAAATAATTTCCAAGCTATAACTCCATTTTGTATCGATTTTGTGCTATATCGATAACATATATGTACATCGATACAAATAAATAAGCCGAGAGTCAAGTCAGTCAAGTAGTCGAAGTCGATATCTTTTTGTTTCAATTAAGTTTTTGTGGATCAGCGGCATCAGCGCTGTCTAGATCGATTTTATAAACCATATAAGATTAGTAGGTTGGTAGAATCAATACTTTTGGTGATCGATTTTCGGATAGAAGATAAATTGTAAACTTGCCGCAAACAACATAAATAATTTAAACTTATTGATATCTCTCTGTCAATTTAGTTGCGACTGGTTTATAATTGATTATGTGGCTCTGCTATAAGTGGTAACAATTATTAGGATCAGCGCCATCTAGCGTTGCTGATTTTTGAACTAAAAAGTGGCCCTAAACTTTTCAGCCAGAGCTTTAGCGCGTAGAGCCATTTAGTCACTTATAAACCAGCCGCAACTCATTTAATAGATATAAAATAAAAAAATAACGATACGAGTTTCAGGCGGCACGTTAACAATCTATTTTTTATCAAAAAATTGACCTCATATGTATTTATACTTTTGAAGATGAATTTTTTAGTAAAAAAATAATTGTTAACTTGCCGCCAAAAACACACGTATCGTTATTTTTTTATTTTATAGCTACTAAATGAGTTGCGGCTGGTTTATAATTGATTAAATGGCTCTAAGCGCTAAAGCTCTGGCTGAAAAGTTTAGGGCCACTTTTTTGTTCAGAAATCCGCAACGCTAGATGGCGCTGATCCAAATAATTACTACTATATTCATAGCAGAGTTATTTAATAGCACTAAATAAATTATAAACCAGCCGCAACTAATTTAACAGATAGGCAACTATAATTTAACATCACTACTAAAGTTGCGGCAAGTTTACAATTTATTCTCTATCCGAAAATTGATCACCAAAAGTATGGATATTCTACTTATCTTACATGATTTATAAAATCGATTTTTTTACCAGAATAATAAAATCATAATACTTTAGCCTGACTTTTCGCAAAAATTCGAGAAAATTAACGCCGCTTATCCAGATAAACTCAAAATAAAAACGAAATATATGTATACTAAATATCCAGTCGATGCGGAGGGATCTGTGCATCATTATCGATATAGTAGGGATTTAGCTTAGTCATTGTTGGCCATCGGTACTGACAATTTTACAATCATTTTACAATCACGTATATAATGCATATATGCATATATTTATTAAATTTAACAAATTTTTGGTCCCATTACCTATGAAGTTCAGAGAAAAATTTTTTAAAAACAATACCAGTATTAATTTTATAGAGATAAATAAAACATCTTCACCTAATCTTAGCAGAAAATTCTGTTCATTTCTTGGTAAGTTTGTTAACAGATGGGTACTGGAAAAATTTAAGGGATAAGAAACAATCAAAAAACAGAAGGGACATAAAATAAAGACTTTGTAATATACTTATAATCAGGTTTACGCGTGACATTTAACCTATTAAATTGCAAAAAAAATTTTTTGAATTATTCTTTGTATACCAAATGTATGAATTATACAGTTTTTTCTATCAAATTATTTCTAGTTCTCTTACGCAGTGAATCTATGTAGGAAAATAATAGAATACATTGAGTTTGTTATTATTGGTATTATTATTATTATTATTAATAAAAAATTAACAGTAGTAATTCCAATAATGTACATATTGCTCTAATAGCAAATCTGAAACGTCTCATTGTAGTAAATACAAACTCACTTAATCATCGACTAAAAAAACGCTGTTCTATGTACATAAATAAAACCACATCCTATATCCAAATGAAGTTAATAGCTGCTTGTCTGTATACAATCTAACAGTCTTATTTGAAGAATTTGTAATTTTTAAATAAAACGAAAAAAAAAATCACTGGAACAGTTTTTGCATTCGTCATGAGAAATATCCGCGAATAATATATACGTACTTCTGTCGATACTTAAATACAGGCTCATCCTCTTTTGTCGAGGAATATAAATGCAAAAACGTTTACGTGCTATACATATAATAATTAATCGATTCTACGTGGTCGATTGCTGAGAATTTTCTTAGTCTTTAATAATTAGTATTGACGTTTATGTAATAACATTTATAGGAACATAGAGACTTCGAAGATCGCCTTATTGTGACGAACCTTTTTAAAAGCGGCAAGTCACTACGTCAGTTAAATGATTAACTTCTAACATTCATTTTTTTTTAAAAAAACTAGTGATACTCTTTGATCCAGCAGCAGCTTTTTGCCTCGCTAAATCCTTTTTGGATACGGTTGGTAGCTTGGCAGGCTGTAAAAAAATACATTCATTTATTATAAATTAAATATTTTTAGTAAATTTTAAGTATTATAAATAAACAAAGAACCCAACCTTCTCTGATTTAGTGAGATCCAATGCTCCATTTTTGGGAGACTCTTCGTGTGACTGCGCTTCTTTTTTAGGCCTTTTTTCTTCAGTCGTCTCTTTTGGACTGATTAATTTACGTTTCTTTTGTTCTGAATCATCTGGTAAATTAAGATACTGGAACAATTTTTTACTCAAGTCTTCGGCGAGATATTCAGAAACAATTCCATGGGCATATTTTAAGTACTCTAAAATGTGTAAAAAGTATTGTTTGAGTACAACTTTGAACTTTGAACCATTACAATAATATAATAATTACCTGTTTCAGTGCCACCTTCGTGTTTACTACTTTTTACAAAGTTAGCACTAACAGCACCATGAGAGACATGAATACCCTTTTGCCTTACAATATCAGCTACTTTTTCAACTTTTTTTTTTAACCAACTCATTGTTTTTTCTTCATTGTATTTGAACGCTTGTAAAGATTCATCACCCTTTCTATCAGCTACAAGGGACAGCTTCAAATTTTGGCATTTGACCAGTCTGCTAGTTTCGGGATAATCTTCGTCATGAAGGCATTGCTCCAATGGCATAACTTGTTGAGACTATAAATAAATAATCTTGTAACCAGGGACAAAATTCACTCAAATCTAATGATAGGTAGTTATACCAACTTTTCTTAAATATGGTAGCACCAAAAAAATAGGGTCAATGGGAGTTGAAAGATGCATTTTTCCATCCGACCTGACATTGTCATCTATAAACCAAGATCTCTTGTTTTCATCAAATGTCATGACTTCTTGAATAGTAGCATCACCAGAACTAAAAACAAACATCGCTGTCTGATTCGAAGCTGGGTGTCGAAGCTTTACCATGTCTGGGTGCACACCTTCTGTACTTTCTAGACTGTCCCCTGTAAATATCAGTATAAATATTGGCCAATTTAAGATCTTACAACTTATTTTTTTCCTCAAAATTATTTTTAAAAAATTGTAAAGAAACAGTATAATCGAATACACACATGAAAAGCAAAGAAAAAAAAACAACACTGAACTGACAAACATCAACACATATAGGCACCTTTCATGAGGAAAATCCATGTGTTCGAGTTGGCCTGCGATTTGACGAACTTCTTCGGGGAACCCTTGACACGCGGCATTGTTGTGGGTTTAATACGTACTTATCCTCGATGACAATGCAACTCAAAGCTCAACAACTCAACAAACAGCAATGATAAACCAACGCGTCTCCTGGTCCTGCGGCTGATGCCTCTCCACACACTCGGAGACTCTAGCTCTTTCTCTTTCTCTCTCTGCTTTGCTTTTTATCCGGAACTGTCCGGAAGGACCGGAAGTACGAGCCCCGTTAGATAGCGCTGATGCTGATCTTAAAGTGATACTAAGACCACGTGATACAGAGCGGCAAGTACAAAACTTGTTTACAATGTTGGTACATTAATATTATATTATTGTTAATGTTTACCAAAATTTCGTGTCCTGCAATAAAAATATTCAAGTAAATAAAATATGTTAATGGTGGAGTAAAGCCTTTCGAAGAAGGAAGCATAATTTTAAATTTGAATCATGTTTTACTGTATGGTCGTTATAAAAACTCTAAAACGGGATTACATAAATACTGTGCTCTGTGTTTGCAATCGTCTAAAATATTTAGCACCGCAGACGAGAACAGTAATTTTTTATATAATGTCGGTATGTTTTGTTTATTTCGACAACAGTACACTGTGGTAGTAGTGTAACACTACTGTCGTCTGCTTTGTTTGGTATTGTAACAAGTAACAAAACAACTTTGAGACCGGCATCAGCGCCATCTAACGGGACTCGTACTTCCGGATAACCTATAAGTAAGTATGTGCAAAAAAATCGATGCAAACGACATATAATAAATATACACGGAGAGAGCCGAGAGAGAGCGCGCGAGCCAATCCCTGAGTATCTCAGCTCTTAAGGTTTATGGTAGCTGATGATAAGTATACTTAGCGATGATGGTCCGAAACTCCGAAAAAGTGAAAAAAAAGCAAGCGGACCCTTGCAAAATACTTACTTAAGAATTGCGAGTGCAATGAACTGCACACCTAAACCATTACGGAGTCCAGTTATCGCGGCCATTTGTGTACCTATCTATGCACACTACTAGGTATTAAAAAAAAAAAAAATTAAAAAAAAATGCAATGAAACAATCAAAATAACAACATAATATGATCATTAGTCATTCATGCAGAATTCTCTCTTCGTCCATAGGTCACATGGATATTTACCTTCAGTACCCCCGGAGGAAATCAGGAATACAGATTTCAGCTCACCGAGCCAAATTAAAGCTCAATTCATTCATTCCCCATTCCTTACCTCGATTAGTGTATGAAAGTACACCTATAGGTATATACACAATTAGCAATCTCAGCAAAGCTACAATTTATAATTAGTATAATTGTACATAATGACATTCATGAGTTTCATTGTTTACACGTTAATTTAAACGAATTTGGAGGTAAAAGGAATTTAAAAAACTGTCAATGCAAATAAAACATGTACTTATATATCAAACATATATATTTTTTTAATAACTCAATCACAGAGCAAACTGGACAATCAGAGGGAGATATTTTTTTTTTCACGCTTTTTTCCTTACTTTTACACACTGCCTCTTGTTTTTTCCCTCCTTTCATTCGTCCTCTCATGCACTTTCAACTCTGCAGACGCGTGTTTCGCAACACCGCGGCTAATATAATTTATTTCTCTCTACTCTTTACGCCTCACTTTTTTTGCTTCTAACATGAATTTTCATTTATTTTTTTTTTTTTTACATTGTTTTATTTATTTTTTATAATAGTTTCGTTTAATTTAATACAGTCGAGCTACGTGTCGATTATCGTAAAAAAGTTATGTGACGCGAGTTTTTAAAAAAAGTTCATCAGATTCGTCAGTAAAAAATCGTACGCAGACGCAAGTCGCATTTGTAGTACTTATTTTATTTTCACAAGTTCGAAAATTTTCTTCTAATTGGTTATAACGCTGCAAACTGCTCAGAGAATTTTCAACTTATGGTTTGCTTTTCTCAGCGGAAATTTAGACAATCATGATTATTTACATTTAAAGGCATTGCCATTTACAATTTTTTTTTCTTTCTCTATTTACGATTCACAATGTATGCACCTCTTTTCTCTGCGTTTAAATTAAAGTAATAATAATAAAAGTTGTTTACAGTTAAAATTTTGTAATCATCGTATTGAAAAATTTGCTATTACCTACAGTTGCAATTTTCAGTGATGTTTTTGTATTTCATTTTGTACAGCATGTTTATACACCTATGATTTATTTTTTCTCTAAAAATGCGATAATTGCATTCCAGCAAATAAACGTTCTTTCAACTATAAATTTAAACTCACTCTCCTTGTTACTTGTGAATCTTTCTTTTAGTAATAGTAATAATTCAGTTGACTGCGGTTTGTGAAAAAGTTTCGTTTTTTCTTTTTTTCCTTTGCACATATTATAAAAGCATCATCCCATAACGGCAGTGATGCTGTAATACTCTATTATACATCTTTTAAAATATTTTTACAAGTTGAGCTTCGACGAATATTAACATAGAACATCAATTGTCACTAATTGTAACAGAGGAAATTTAGATACTGACCAATAAAATACTATTGAAAATCGAGTAGATTAATTTATATTTGTATATTGTTTAACAAATGATATAAGGAATATTTTAATAGTGAAATACAAAAAAATCGACAAAAATAAAGACAAAAATTGATTTGTGCTCAAGTGAAAATTTTGTATGAAAATTCGTTCGTAATTGCATGATTTCAGAACTTGAGTAAAATTCTTCAATACTATTTACAAGTTTTAAAAGTAACATAAGAAATAATAAAAAAAAAATTATAATAATAAAAAGTGACGCATTGATTTTTCTGACGCAACTAAAACTGGGATTGCACATAAAAATTAGTCGTTAATCAAAATACGTAATCAAAATGTAAGTGAAACCTACTCGATTTCCATGAAAATGTTTATAAAAAAACTTAACCAATTAATAATTTTCTCCAAACATCATGTTATTCTACGATTAATTGTTATCGTACTGAATCTCAATCAAATATACATATACATATATAAATCGAAAGTAGTTAGTTATAGAAACTCGAGTGGATCGCATCTCCGCGCGTACAAATGTATACATTTATAATGGATTTATAACAGTTTATAAAATCACGCACACATATACACATACAGGCTCAAACTCTTCTGTCATTCCTTATTATTTTTCATTTTCTCTGTTCTTAACAAACAAGGCATCGCGTATAGCATTTTACAATGTCGAAGCACGACTTATGTAATATTATCGATGCGAGGCTATTAAGCTTATAAGAATACTTTGTTATATATAAAGTAAAGAGCAACAAAAGTCGTGCAGGAGCATCTTTTATACACATTATTAACTTGTTGCTAAAAATTTTCGTTTAATAAAGTAGGAAAAAAAAATACTTCAAAAAAATTTTAAGTTAAAACAATTGCGTGTTAACAAAATTGAACACAATACATCAAACACCATGTAAAAGAAGTTAGTTCAAGCTTGACTGCTTGATTCAATTACTATCCAAGAATTAATATGAATGAAAATTGGCAAAAACGCCGACTTTCGTAAAAGGCACATTGATTTAATTATTAATTTTTCCTTAAGTCAATTTTTTAGAACACGTTAATAATAATTAAAAAGCATTCAAGTCTTAAGCTTTGCTTTAACTTGTTTTCCTTATCAATAAGTAACACAAATTTTAAAGATTTAAAGTTGATAGTACTGTAGTAGTGTTGAACAAGTTAAATAAAAAATCATTGCATCGCAATCATAATTATGCTGTTAGAGATTTAAAAAATATTTTCATTGCAATGAATAAATTAACTGACAAATCACAAATATTTTAATAAAAAAATATTTACTTCAACGGTTTTGGACACAATCCATCTAAAGTGTGGATGTGTTTTTTCCTCAATATTTAGACGTTGATTAACATTCAAGAATTAGTACACAATCAAACTTTATTCCACTTCAAATTATCACCGAAATTTATAGTGTTAAAAAACAGCACCGCCTTTTAGTAAGTAGATTTATAAAATGTACTTAAAATATTTTGGCAAAGGCTTCACACACGTGTATGCAAACAGCTTTAAAATTTATTGGTTTAAAATTAGTTTTAAAAAAGACTAAAAATAAATGATGAGAAAAAAAAGCTTGTTTTAGTGCTCCTCTCTAACTAACTAATTAATCTTTATGTCAAGTAATAATCTGAGTATACCTTTATACGTTGGTATAGTTATCAAGGTACACGTGATTTATAAAAAAGTGAGTTTGTTACTCTAAGATTAGATTAAAACAAAGCATATTGTATTCAATTTACCTTACATGTCATGAATTAAAATTTTTAACCGCAAGTGTGTAGCAGATAAAATATACCCCTGCTTTTCTTTGACATTTCTATAAGCATTGATAATTTTACATTCAAATTAATTTGAAACTATACCGACTGGCATAATTCTGCTGTTAATTTTGTTGGAAGCTTTTTCTAATTAAGTAGCTTTCTGCATTTGGATCCGTGACCGTTTGTATATCATCAATGTATATAGGGATGTACCCTTGAATGTATAAAATATATTAAAGTAACATTTTTAATTATATGAAAATAAGGACCGTTCAATAAACGCACACCTTGTTTGTTTAATGTTATTTTTCGTCCTGATTATTCACACATACATTAAGATCTGTCCATTACTCTAGCAATCATATAATATTAAAAATAAAATATTTGTAAAAATTATTTCAATCGTCCTTTAAATTCGTAAATTCGTATTATTGCGATATACTTTTACTTAAACTGATACAAATAATTCCTTTTCGCTTTGCTTAACATATTTAAACCATCATTTCAATTGAAAAGTTTCGATCTAGCTTACCTGAAAGTTATACCATACATTTATAATCTCAAATACGTTATACTTTAGATTTGTTTCGCGAAAATCAATCCCAACTTAATGTTCACCAAATAGATCTCTAAATAACATCCTTAACTCTCTGGAGTTGTACTATTTAATCTTGAAGGATTATGTTTGTGGGGAAAAAAAACAAAAAAAAAAAAAACATTACTGCTGTCGAATTTAAAAAGGCTTGTATTGAAAGCTGAATTTATTTTTTTGGAGCTTCAATTTATGTCATACAATCGCATAAATTTTTTACTTAGCTTTCTGCTAAAATAGTTACAAAAACGTTATTGTCATTATTTTAGTTTTAAAATGAAAAAAAAAAAAAAAAAAAAAATCAAACAGATTGCCTGAAAAAAATTCACAAAATTGTTCATTTTACTATAACTACGATCAATCAGTTAGGGTCAGTCAATCAATCAGAATTTAATGTCAAATAAGTAAAACTCAAGAATCTTTTTCTTGATGAAACGATTGCACAACAAAAACTAAAGTTCCATACTCGTCAAAATTATGAAAAAGCCAGGCGCGTTACACGGAATTATTAGAATTGTTCTCACCTGGAGCGAGAATCATCCAGGCGTATGTATAACTCTTTCCCAGACGCTTTGAGCATGTCCTCCTCCATTCATATGTATAAACCACGAGTGTCCATTTTATGCATTAAATAATGCACTAAAGGATTGCCTAAGGATCCTTTGACGATGACGGAGTTGTCGAGGAGGCGCGCTCGTTTCTTACTGATCGTCTTCTGCCAATACAGAGCATCAGAAGGGCGTACTTATGGGCCATTAGGCGAATACCATCGTCAAAGAGTTTTCGGAGCGTGCACTGCGGATTGCTGATGAGACTGGCTGCCGTAGCTGTTGACCGAGATGACGGCTGCTGCTGTTGGCTGCCAGGATTCAGGTAGGGCTAGGAGTCATCCAGTAAGACGGATGAGTTTGGACTGCTACTGTTATTGCCTGCGTGATTACACTGTTTAACTCCTGTTGACGACGTTGTTGTCGGCCCAGAGTTCGGCATTTGGTTGTATGGGTGATTGCTGTTGCATAGCACCTTGTATATGTTCTCCACGCTACTGAGTTTCTCGAAAAAAGGGATGAGGTCCAGCAGCTCGGAATCCGTCATATCGTCGAACCACGACGCGACTGGTACCTGAAAAGCACAAAATTAAGTTTCTCAATATAATATACATGCGCGCTAAGACAGCAAACTTGAATGAATTAAAATGGAAAAGCAGCACTTACCGCATTGTCCGGATGAAAAATGTAACTGGCAGGACTGTTGTCGACAATGATAATCTGTTGCAAATCCCGACCCAATTTATTCAGATCCTTGACGTAGTTGCCCCGGTGAAAGACGCACGATTCCCGGAACAACCTCGCCCGAAAGACGCCCCATCTGTCGAGCAGGTTCGCGACTGGATCGGCATACTGCAAAAGAAAAAGTCATTCACAATGCAACCTGCGGCGAAAGCCGGCAGTCGAGTCAACTTTCACGCTGTACCGCGAAAAACTGCGCAACGACAACAAACAAGCATACACGCTGGTTATGCAAGTATACCTTCGCCAAGCTCGCGGTGAAGAGAACGCATTCGTAGAGCTCGCCCATGCGCTGGAGGAACTCGTCGACGTAGGGCCTCTTGAGCACGTAGACCTGATGTACGTTGCCGTCTATCTCGACGGGTACAACGAAGTCCGCGTTGTTGATCGGCTTGAACGAGCTGTGCACCAGGGTCTCGTCCAGATCGATCACCATACACTTTTTGTGTATGTCCTGGTGACGCACTGGAGGCAAGAGATAGCGTGGCGAGCCAGTCCTCGGCGGTGCGTACTGATCGTTCTCGACCGAGCTCGCCTTTGAGCTCTTCGAGCTGTTACCTCGGCTCCGACCCAGGCAGCATAGGAGCGAACGCAGAAAACCCCGGCCACGGGACTTTTTCTCGCTCGGCGTTGGCCCTCCGCTCGTACTATTGATGCTCGCCTCATTCTCTCGTGGTAATTGCGCTGCAAATTAATATTGTTGTTCGGCTTTAAGTATTCAATTGTACTCCAAGGTAGTTTATCAAAGGTGAGTATTACGTAATTAAAAAATAATTTTTTGTTTCCCTAATCCGTGGAGGAGAACATTTTTTAATCGTAAGATTAAAGGTATGTATGTAATATTACTGTTGCATACAGTTGTTTGGATCCTCAAAATGTGAAATTTTATCATACAATATTTCGATTCAACCAGTTATTTTATATGCATACAAACAAAGCTTTTCAATTTTGCACCCCCATCACAGAAAAATATATAAGATGGTGATGTGTGGTAATATTTCAGTCAAGGACAATGAATGTGAATAAAGTATTGAATGATCTATTTATATATGGAAAATTTTTCTAATGAAAACACGTTTTCATGTGTACAATGAAATAACAACTTGCTAGCGTGCTAAAAAAATCACAGAACAGCAATTGAGGCATGAAATGCACCAATGGAGCAAAAAAAAAGACAAAAAATAATAATAAGAAAAAGATAGAAAAAAAGTGGATGGAACTAAAAAAAAAAGATAACAGATAAAGACAGAGAAGACGAGATTTAAAGGCAAGAAGAAGGCTACTTATTTTCACTCATTGGCTAATATATCAGAGAGGCAACGAATAAAGTAAAAAAGAAAAACTTGCCAAGGTTGGGTGTAAAAAGCTCGACGGATTATGTAAAAAAAAGGAAAAAAGAAAAAAAAACCGTCAGCTAGTCTCTCTAACATTAAAAGAGAGCACAGTGGCAACACATAATCAAAGAATAGCTTGGAGAGCTAGGGAAATGGAAGAAAAAAATGGACAGACTGGGAACACTGAACGTACGCATATACTTAATAACATAAGGTATGCGAGAAAAAGAGAATAGCAAAGCAAGTACTATCGTAGTGTAGAGTAAAGAGTAGTAATAGACGAACACAGACATTTACATGAGACACTCGCGAACGGGCAAATAAATAAAATGCTCGCGTCACATGGAAAAGATGCATCTTTGCTTGTGGTCTTGTCATCGTTTGAACATGCATGCACGATGATGATGATGCAGTGCAGTGAGCATATTATTATAAAATATGAATATTTATTGCTTCTGTAGTATATCTATACATGTATCATATGATTTATAAAAATCTGGTCAGGAGGTATTTACGACACGTCACGTGTAATTTATGTATGTTATGTTATTTATGTAATAAATGACACGGGTTTCACAAAAGTGAATTTTTGGTTATGAAAACTTAATAAAACATACGTATATGCTCGTGTAATAATTAAAAATTTATAGTTGCTTTTAAAAGAAGTATAAAATCGATCATGCACTTTCAATACAACCTTTTTTTTCTGCTACGTCTGTTAGTAAAGTTAAAATTGTACCCAGATTTTAAGGTAATGAATCCAGAAAGGTAAGATATTTTAAAATACATATTTATTATCACATTCACACGACAACTAGAAAGCGTTTTTGTAATTTTCCCTAAATTAATTTGTTTGCCATTTAGAAAAAATAGTATTTTCGCGATACGTGTCGTAAATTCACTAAATGTAATAAACTCATTTTGTATGACGTGTTGTAAACGTAATAAATGACATGTGAATTGAATTTACAACGTGACATAAATGACACGCCCATTCCTGTTTACAAGTATTGGAAATAAAAAAACGGAGCAACAAAAAAAAGTCGTCTGCACTGAATCGACAACAAAAACACACACAACCAAGAACCTAACCTTCAAGACTCGGCCGAACTCGAGCTTCTGCAGGGAATTTCGGAGTGCCCGTGCATAGTAACTGTAACCTCGATGACGACGATAACGACGACCACGTCCAGGTTGTCGTTTTGCTCGTCGTGCAACGGTGCCAGCAAGGTATTAGCCTGCTCGAGAAGCTAAACGCGCGATAACAGGTGTACAGCATCTGTGTGCGAGGAATGCGTGTGGCACGAAAAGAGAAAAAAAATGACACGACATGCATTCTGATGCTGATACTCGTTCGCTTTTTGCGCGAAGGCTATGGCGAAAGATAGAAGAAAGAAGAGAGGAGAAAGATCAGAGACAGAGAGGGAGATAGAGAGAGAGAGAGAGAGACAGAGAAAGGACCCGGAGGACGGTGTTGAGGAGTATTGTTTCTCGCACACGCATATAGTTACAAGCGTTCAATGCATTTTACACACGCAAATGTAAAAACTTGAAAAAACGAAGAGCGCAAGAAGGAGACAATACTTAAATAAGTACAATAGGTTACATGTGTAGCGTGACAGACAGGAGTAAAGAGAGTATAGGTGGCGGGTGACAAAGTCTGCGGGGCCAAAAATATAAGTACTTAATCTCGCTTATATTCTCTCAATGAATTAGCGGTACAAGGGGGAGAGTGGGGGTATGGTGCAGTATTATAATTATACCCAGCAGATAATGATGATGATGATGATGATGGGTATAGACAAACCTTTTTCGTTGTTGTATGAGCCTAACTCATCGTCCCGGGACACCTGGGTAATGATGGACGATGCGTCCATTTAAACATTGGCCGTCGGAATTCCTCCGCTTTTCTTCGTCTTCTTTCCTTATTCTACCTCGAGCAGCAGCCTGCGGGTAGCGGCGGCGGCAGCAGCCTCTCTCTCGTGGCTCCTCCGTCGTGGCTGCAAAATGTTAAGACTCCGGATCTGGCTATACAGCTGCTGCTGCTGTACTGTTGCGTGCGTGTTGTCGTTTTTCGTGGGTGCAGAGGCGTGCTGTAGACCAGACCCCTCGCGTCCCACGGCGACGAGGATGATGCACTACATGTACGCACCCAACTAGTATAGGCGGCGCGGCACCTTCACCACGGTAGCACAAGCACAATGTGGAGTCAAAAAACACATCAGCCGATCAGCACAGCATCATCACACACCAATGACTAAACCAAACCAAACCAAACTCGGGTATATACGTATGCTATGCATCAATATATGTATATATAAGGACAGTGTAATCTGTAAACGTTACGAGGCAACTCCGCTCCGAACGACGCACGAAGCACGAAAGCAAGATACAAGAGAGGGAGCACAAGAAGTTCAAATGTGTGTGGTGGTGGTAATTATACCTGGTAGACATAAATAATATTACACACGGGGATGAACATTAGAAATTAGTTTAAACAACAATAGGTACTTCAGAGTCCAAAATTCGGATAAAGATAACTTGTCACAATTTAGGCACAATTTATTATGGCTTGCCGCGCCGCGGATTTGAAAGTCTGTGAAAACACTTCGAATGAGAAAAATCGAATAAAATGAAAAAAAGAGGGGGGCTTTTTCTCAAATTCTCAGAGTAATATAAACAACAAGATCGAAGTGGTTTTTTTCTTTTTCTTACTGCAAGTAGTATAGCGGGCCCAAGTAAGTATACCTAAATGGTACTAGAAAAAACAAATTCACGGAAGGCACACAACATGTAATACGTAATCAGAGCAACTGCGGTAACAACCCATTACAACGTTTTCCAGCTACCTACTCGTACAATGCGAAAGAGAAAGTCAGAAAGTAGACTGCACTTGTTTGTTTTTGTATGATTTTGTCAAATCACAGATTCTGCCGATTCTAGTTGTCAGACTAAGTACTAGATACTAAACATTACATTAAATTATATCGATGCAAGATGAGACCCACCTCATATTATATCAACCAATTAAGTGTATGTAGAAGTAATAAAGTTACATATAATTATGTGCAACATAATAATTTGTTACATTAAAACACGTATATATAATTACATTCGAAGCAAGTAAAGTGCACAACTAACTCTGACAACGTACGCGTGCAAACTGAAAGTCTGAAACTATAAAAGCCTACGATGATAGGCTGATAATACGACGCTAATACGATATATACCGTCCTCTTTTCTCTCACATCCTATAAAATACTGTTTATCATTAAACACGAAACATTTTGAAGTGAAGCTAAGGACTTGAGATTTGATTTTATTAAAACCGCCAACATATACAAAACATAAGTATTTAATTTTACATATTATTTAGAGGATAATATATAAACAAACTAGCATTTTTTTACAAACTCATGAAATCAAGAAATAATTCAGTGTGTTTCTATTTGCACGTGACTGTAAATAAGAAGCTAGTATATATTACGTAATATTTTTCTGATATGATTCAGTACATCTTTCATCAACTTTATGTGATGTAGCATCGATATAAAATGGCATGTCATATATTATACATACACTACTTCGATTAACGCATCAGATATAAGTATATGATTCGATAAATTGATTTCGTAAACTTTGTTTTGATCCAGGCCCACTCAAAGACACCAGGCCTTCATTATTGGTAAACAAGTTTCCCGAGGTTGCTGCAGAATATTAATCACCAAAGACAACTTTCAGCAGAAAAAAAATTGTCTAGGGGGATCAAAACTTAGGAAGTGCCAAAGTTCATGTAAAGATCGTACTTACAGAAAAAACTGTGAATGATTATGAATATGATCATGCAAAACACAAAATTTTCTACTAGTAAAATCTATCACCATTGACTAATTGTTTTATTGAAATTCTTGAAAAACATAATCTCTTAAGCTGTACACTTCGGTTTACCGATTATTCTCCCTTTCGTTAGAAACGATTAAGTTATCACATTACAAAGGAAATTTTCTGAAAAAGTTTTATGGTTATATTGTAAGTATAAATAATTAATTTCGTTAGAAAAGGTTGCAAAGAAAACAAATTTACGAGGATTGATACTACTTCGATTGGCAAAGAATAAGTAAACGGCTCACCACATTGTATATATTTTTTTTTTAACCGCGGATGAAAACAGGCTAAAAAAATTTTAACGCCACACTTGGCTGTGGTGTAAATAATGTTTTTTTGTACCCATATACTTTAGAAGTGTCTTGTCTTAAACTTAAGTGATAAAAGCATTTAATTGTTTATATTATTTTTATTGTTTATTGTCATATTATACGAACTCTTTCACAAATCAATACACGATTCCAAGCCTTACTTGTTAATTTAATTTTAGCATTAAATATCCCACGTCTGTCGATAGCTGAGTGAAAGGACATATTATCATCCCAAAAATGTATTTGAAAGGCCTACCGATTCAAAAATGTTTTTGAATTTACTACACCATTCGTTGATATTTCTGAAAAATATATCATTCACAATAACAATTGTTGGATATAAAACGTTAACATGTTATTAAAAGAAAAAAATATGTATTTAAAATGTTATACAATAATGCGTTTTTTTGAAAATTACTTTCTTGCCCAAAGCTGTCGAAATACTGGTATTGTTTAATCGATCTACCTTTACAATACAATATATATATACACAGCTTGGTGTACAGTTGTGACGAAAAGTTGTTTGAATGCTTTTTTTTATGCGTTTATCACTCTTTTTTTCATTTGAAATCATGCATGTGCTCTTGGATGTGCACATAAAAAATAATTATCTGGTATATTGTATTATATTAACTTATAAGTTTAAACTTATATATATTATATTTATGTACTTGTCTATAATGGGAATAAAAAAATTGTTTAAATCGATAAAAATAAATGTTTTTGGATGCATTAGATAAATAATCTACATTAATTGATAATAAAACTTGGATTCAATTGGAATTTCGTTATTTACACATCGTTGACGCGCGCGTGTTCTCCCTTTGGCGGACGTATAAAATATATTCGTAAAATAGACAACACAAAGGAAAGAATAAAACGACGAAAAACATTATACACGCAAAAATTAATTTCTATAATAACCCAACAGAGTTGCGGGTATAATTTTATCACAAACTGTATTTGCGCGAGACTCGAGTGTATACTAGAATTTCTCCTATATTTTTCCAATACATCGGATTAATTTTAGCTCCGTTAATTTGCAATTCGATGCAAATCCAATATAGAAAATAGGTACACACCGACACGTACACGCAAAAGTGCTACACGGGTCAGATAACTCCAGAGCACTTTCCCTGATGACGTGTTGCACGAAAGGACGAGAAGAGTTAAAAATACATATTCCGGTATACATACGTGCACGTGTAAGGGTTTTCTTCCTCGATCTCTCGTTGACAAGATTAAGTAAGACGCAGAGAGGCTACTCGAAAATCGCACGAATCCATTTTCCAAGAGAAACATTTTAATTTGAAAAATATTTGGTCGTCGAACAAAAAAATGCGAGGATATATCTTTCTCTCTCTCCATTGTCACGTAACGTTGCGAAACGTCAATAATTTCTATGGTCGAATCACTGCTTGAATCGTTATTTTTTTTTTTTTTAATTTATTCCAAATGGAAAAGAAGGAATACGAGCTCTTTGGCCAACTAACGTCAAGCATAAAATTAATATTGCCCATGGAAAAAAATGTAAATTCTTGTTTTTATCATTATTAGAACATGACGACGACTCTCATTACCACAAAAATTCTCTATATATATATATATGGGTGCATCTATACGTTACTTCATTTGCTTGCGCAGTCAAAAAAAAAAATATATATATATATATTTTTTTTTAAATAGCTGCAGTATCAGAGATTAAACACTTGAAATAAAAGTTCGACGTTCCACGGTGCGTTCAGTAAATTTTTCATCATACCCAAACACGCATTATCCGATTGATACATGCAAACGCTTATTTGTATGGGTTGATAAAAATTAATTGTTTATTTTTGTATTTTAATAAAAAACGGTGAAAAATGTGCAAAATCAATGCATACACCAAACCACCATCACTATTCAAACAATGACAAGGTGCCATAAAAATACCGTTAACTCAATGTCAGAAACAACGATGCTCCGCTGTTATGGTATTCTTTGGCATTCTTCTCTTCGCATCTTCACTTCAGCTGTAACACACGAGTCACGAACTCCATTTTAACACATACAAGTCACACGTATTGTACATATGCACACAGACATTGGCAGACAGCGAGAGTTGAATGAATAATCTTACGTAACATTGAGCAAGCCTTTGACTTTGGATGGATTTCGCTTTTTATTATAATGTCGTTGCGTGTGCACGCGTGGGTGTAATCGTGATCTTGTGATGTATATTGTACGCAATGCAGGTGTTACAAGAGCTCCTTTTTTTATTTTTGGGTGTGCGGTACGATGCTAATTAAACCTGAGCTGGAGTATAAATAAATAGGCGTAAATTATTTGTTTGTGTTTTAGAGACAAGTTTTCTTGTATTTAAATACACTGTACACATGTTTCCGTCATTTATTTTTCTTTGTATATATGTTTTATAAAAAAACCTATAATAAAACAAGTATGCCCGACGTATATGCTTATTTGTTTCTTCTTATATTAATATACATCAACTTTATAAAGATGACGTTTACGAGCCTTGCACCACTGAGGGCTAAAACTTAAAAACTTCTAATCGTGCGCTTCATTCAAATGCATGAAAGACAACCTTTTGCCTTCTTACACGTGGAGTTCAGGGGCCTCAATGAGGCCAGTGTAGGTACAAAAATTGCAAATATTGTTTGTTACCGGCGAGTAAGTATATCATTGTTCGATTCACAACTCGCAAGGCTCGCGAGCGCACAAAGACCTTCGTAACTGCGCAATCCTGATAATTCTGCTCGCCAGTCCACAATTTATAGATCATTTGTTCTTCATCAGCAACGTCCGTCGGGACATTCGCCCGCAAGATATGCCGACCATAAAAAACACTAATAGAAATGAAGTAGCTATTAGTAAAAAGTATCGCTTCGACGGCGAACGATTAACAGTGGCGTACAACTCCTCGATCGTCTCCGGTGGTGTAAGCTGGATTACGGAAATGTATAAGTTTACCAATTTATTTGTTAATGTTTAAAAAAATTGTACATCAAGTTACAATTCACCTTTTCAGCGTTCCTAAACATCTCGATCCTAGATATCAACATTGTGTAACAATCCGGCTGGAGTCTCTTTTTCTCATCTTGTAATACATTCTGCAGACAATTAATGTCTAATAAAAAAGGACAACATATTTTTAGCAAGTCATAGTTTGGTGGCTCTTAAAAAGTTACGAATAAAATTGTACTAACGCCTTCCCGCTCCTTGCGGTACCATACCACAAAATTTACTAATGTCTACCGCACAAGCCTTCTGCAGCAGCGGATCAACATTTATATCAGCTTTGGCTTCTTCTATCATTTCCGCCACTTGAATGCGACAAGCTTCTTTCATGTGATTGTCGTTTTGCGTGAATTTTTCCTTTAGACATTCCTCTATTATACCTGGAGAATTCGTCTCGTCTTGACTACAAAGTTGAATAATCTGTAACAAACACACGAAAGAACAATAAAGTTCCAAATATCACTAAGAGTAAAAAAAATCATAAACGCATTACCTCATCTGCGCACATTGTAGAAATAAGAGGATTAAGGTGATAATTGAGGGCTGCTTCTCTTAGAATATTTTCCATTATACGCTCGCACTTAGCTGTAAGCTTACTCTCTCTAAATTTAATTTTCAAGCATCCAATAACTTTGCCCTCAACTTCTTTTTCTTGAGGCGCATGATTTATTTCCTGCATAAATTGTAAACGGTAAATACTTTGATTTAATCAAAAAGGCAAAATCAGGTACATGAACATACGTTTTTACAATGCCTATAAATATCTGCCATACATCCATACTGCAGATTTGGATTAAATCTAACGTCCGTATTTTGTTCGGCCATTCTATGTATAACAAATGATCGACACTTGTCATCAAACATGGCTTCATCTTTGTATCTTTTCAAACAATCCAAAGCCTTGGATCGATCAACGTCATGGCAAAATTGTTTGATCATTAAATGACAAGTGTTCATGAGGGGATAATCAATGGCACTGTCAGAAAATTCTTGTTTTCTTATTCTAAAAACTGCACTGTGACAAGGATCTGTCAATCTGATTTTATGATTCGCTAAACATTCTAGTATCTAAGAATATGAAAGCTATTATATGGTATATGATTCATTTAATTTTATAGTGCATGCGTGTGTATGCAGATAAGAAATAATACCTTAGATTGGCCGGGTTCAATATCCCCACACCACTGTTTAATATCATTTACGCACACTTTGCGTAATTCAGGATCGAATTTGATATTTTCTCTCTGCTGATATAGTTGAGCTTTCAACTGTTGTCTACAATCCTTTGAAATTCTGAATTGTGCATTTTTTATAATATCAGTTTGCACCATATTACTTAAGCACGCTATAACTGAAGACTTGGTTTTTGCTCTGCACAGAAAAATATTATGATACAGCATGCAGAGGAAAACATAAAAACTGTTAATAATATAATGCTTACTGCGGACACCATCTAATCACCATAGGTCGGCAAGCATCCTTAAATTTAAATGTAAAATGGTAATTTTTCAGTGATATTAATTGAAAGTGTTCAACCGCTGCCTTACACTTGCTGTCAGTTCTACTATCGAATTCGTTCTTATGTTCAATGAGGCAATCCATCATATCTCCCTCATCCTTACCATACTTTAATATTTCCTGTTAAAAAATGTGATAAAGCACTTAAAATATTTTTTTTATTGATAAAATCGAGATAACTTTATTTTTATTAACCTACATACCCCGCAATATTTTTCCATGATGTGTCTGCAAGCAGTTGTAATAACAGGATTTAACTCAACCCTCTCTGCCTGTTCTTCAGTAAAGTTTCCTACAGCTAATTTACAATTCGAGTTTAAACTGAAAAAATATAGAATAACAATCATCATGACTTGTGTATATAGAAATTTCAATTTAAATCAATAAATTCATACCTATCATATTTGTCTTGCAAACATAAAATTTCTTCTCCTTTGGCAGTCTTATCAAAGCAAAACGACGCTAAATCATCCAAGCACACTTCTTCAATTTCCGGTTGAAGGTCAACGTTCACCGCCCTCTGCCTCATCACTCTTCTTATCTCGTACAGGCAATCTCGTTTTAGCTATAAATTTTTTTTAACTCATACAATTTCAAATACATTTAAATTAAATTCTTAAATTAATTTTGTTTGAAAATTATTGTGATTACCGTCATATTTTTTTGTGGATGATATGCGTATCTGTACAAACAAGGAAGAACAAGCGGACCTCTTTCCGCATCCATCCGAGTGCCATCGTTGATCCAAGCATCTTGAGCGTGACAGAAATGCACTGCGTCTGCTTTACATGCTCTGTAAAGTTGTGGGTCCAATTTGTAATCTCTAGCAATGAAATACTGTATCTGAACTAGTGCAGTTTCGCAAGACTCTTTCATTCGATCTGTTCCCAGTTTGTCCATCAAACAGGATATCACTTTTGCGTTACCACCTTGAACCTTTAATAAAATTTCTTCATTAAAAAATTAACATTCTTCATACTTGTAATTATAGAAAGTATTGAGTACTAACATCTTTGCACGATACATCAACAACAGATTGACAAGCTTCTCTTAACACTGGATCAATTCTCCAATCTTCACCAGCATCAGTTTCTTTAATTAAATCTTCCAACTGTGAAAAATCCGTAGGTTTAGTAATGTTTTCATGGTAAATTGCAATATTATACAACGATGCTTTAACTTACAGCTCTTTGGCATGTAGTAGAAACTCTGGTCTTCCTCTTCCTTACGCGACTGTACTCCATCAGACAGTGAATAGTAGCACCACCAACTTCCAAATTATTACAGAAGGTCTGAATGTCGTTGGCACAATTATTAACTATTTCAGGAGATAATCTGTAATCCTCCATAAGAATTTTCCTGTGATCAAACATTTCAACCCTACACTCGGTAGCCACTTTACTGCCATTCTTGACAGCAGACTCTAGACACAGTAGAATTTGTGCAAGCTTTATATCCTTGTCCTCTGACACGTTCTTTCGACAGCGATAAGTTCTAATATCATCTTTGCAAGCTCTTGCCAAACCTCGACTGACTTTGTAGTCAGAAGCAATCAACTTCTCTCTCCTAACCAGCTGTTCTTGGCAATCTGCTGTCATTGACCTTTCACTTTTATGCTGCATCAAACACTTGTAAACTTGACCACTCCCCGGTCTTGTATTTGGACAAAATTTCCTTCGATCCTCGATACAGGAAAGATGTAATTGTCGGTCCAGCTTAATATTGTCAGCTTGAAGTTCCGTGACTCTTAATATTTGCTTTCTACATGGTGATTCCAGTTTGTTAATATGCTGTTGTAGACAAGCTAAAGTCTGACCTTGTAAAACATCTCTGTAGGGCAGAATTCTTCCACACTGGAAGTTATAAATATCATTTGAGCAATCAGGAACAAAGGCAGTATTAATGACTTTGAAATCATTGACAACCCAGTTAAGCCTCTGAATATAGTCTGTACACTGCAAGTCTGAAATTTTTTCTTTCTTCTCTATCAAGCACATTAAATACGATCCTGAAGTTGTGGCTTGACACGGTACTTTATCTAAAATATCCCCACATACTTCTTTTGTCATTTTATAAATATTTTCATTGACTGTCACTTCTCTTATAAAGTTATAAATTGCATGTTGACACTGATCTTCGATTGTAGAAATTTCGTTTGGCTAAAAAAAAAAAAAATACCAGATATAATTTTTATATTTTTCAAAGTAATAAGTATACAAAATGTATGTATAACATGAACAGTTGTGAATCAGTGACCAATTATTTTAAGCACTGCCTTAAAATTTTCCTAAGGTAATAAGTACCTTGAAAGTCTGCACGCATTCCAGATAAAATAGATCATCCATATCCTTATCAGTGACTTCACAGAGCCACTTGAGTTTAGTCTGACAAGCCCCTGGCTCTATCTTACCAAACAAAGTACTCAGGGCAGCTGGACCCTTGGGTGACCTCTTCCTTCTGAACAACAGATGCTCATTATGCTCATCGTGAGGTACGAGCCATTTGACCTTTGGCGTGTCATTTTCCTCGACAAACAGAAGATCGTCAGAAGCGTACGAACCGGATGCCGGTCCCAGGAGGAGTCCCAGCACTAAATATGCAGCCACCAGCAAACGAGCCATTGCCGAGCCCTTGGTTTCAATATCAGCGCAAGTGCAAGTATATTATTTGCTTCGGAGCACAGTCAGCAACCTCACAGCATCAGCGACTTTTCCGAGATTTCATCTCACTAATGCCACTTAGTGCGTGATTGCTCTCATACACCGTTGCACGCACGCACAACTGCTGCTGCACCGCATTACAGGATGTAGCGTTGTAAAAATTGTATATATTATATATACAAATGTTTGCGAGCGCTATAGAATCTATAGTATAGATGTAGAGTATCATTTAGATCCCATATATATCCCAAATTCCCAAATCCCACATTCCCACACCATATAGTCCACAATATATATAGGTATCAGACCACAATATTACATACACCAACCAACCAACCATACGTCTGTTTATATATATATATATGTATGGAAATTGAGTGATGGAGGGATGAAGGGGTAAGTGAAGTGTTTTCCGCACTACGGGGAGTACGGGGTGACGCTCTCTTAGCAAATAGTAGTGAGCAAAAAGGCCACACTTAACGTTATCTGTAATCGTTGAGTTGCGTTTCCAGCGAGTCATAAGATGTGATTCAATGCGATAGAATTATTGTTAAAAAAATTATGCTTTGTTTCTACTGAAAATTGTGTATTTTTTATTACTACCTAACAACATTTTTCATTTTTGCTGAAATAATTTATAATATTGAGAAAAAAAAAAAAAAAAAAAAAAATTGCGCTGTTTATATATGATTAGAAAAAAGTTTATGAATAACTTAAATCGCTCGAATACAATGATTTCTTAATAAAATGCGAAGACATCTTGAAAAGGGGAGAAAAAATAATAAAAGTTCTAAACAAAAAGCAAAGCGCAGTTATTACTTAATTTACTTGCATCATTTGCAAATTAAAAATTACATACACACATTAGCTGGAATTCTAGCTTGAATTTCCTAAAAGATTGGTAACAAGAGCTAAAATTTGAATTTTGAAATTCACTGTAGCAAGTCATTGGTATATACTTTATATACATTTACAGGGGCAGAAAAAATTTTGATGCATTGTTGACGCGAAATTCTTAGCTTCGCGAATTCCGTAAAGAAAAACGCCTTTATACTAACGAAAATTTTCAATTCATTTAGTTTAATTGAGCAATGTTAATCTTTTGGATAGATTATTTATTAAGCATGTCAGATATTTAATTAAGGGAATATAATTCTGCCAATTTTAGTTCTGATTTTTTTTTTTCTCAGCCTATCCCGAGATAGAAATTAATATTAAAAATAATCGATACTGTTATGTTGACTACATTTAAGAATAACATAATACGTTTATTATAAAAAAACTGCACTTTATAATCCATATGATAAATAGTATTTTTTTAAATTTATGTACATACTTACATTAGTACTAAATTAAAATTAACTTGAAAAATAATTTATATCTACATACAGCTCAATTTTGTGTTAGTTTTAGATATTGTTGTTTCTATTGTTTCTCGTATTTCAAGTTCCTGTAAAAATATCGATATAAAATACTTATCACTATATTTCCAACTAAAATGGATGAAATCTAAGATGCATTATATATTTACCTGGGCAATTTCATTCTCATAAAACTCCTTGTATTGGTTTTTAAGTTCCGAACATTCTTTTTCTGCAATTGAAAGAATTTTTTCTGCACTTTTGACAAGAGTTTTCTTATTATTGAAATCATTTTTTAATTCTTGTAATAACGACTTTTTACTATGAAGTTCTCTGAAAATATAAAAATTTTCTTAAAAATTTTACAATCTATAATATAAATACCCAATTCATATTAAGCTAAACAATAACAAGAGTTGTACAGTTTCTTTACCTTTCTCTTTGTTGGCATTGTTGACCCAATTCTGATAATAATTGTTCATATCTTTTAGCATCTTCATTTTCTATAATGGAAGACAATTGGTTTTCGTCAAGATTGCTCCATTTTTCAATGTCAGTTTTTAATCTATCTACTTCCTTCTGAACATATTCTAACTTTTCTGATGTTTCTCTGTGAAAAATATGGAAACAGAAGTGATTGATACGCCTGCATAAAGAGTTTGTACAATCGAGAATTAATGTTGTCACGATTCTTACTTCAATTCTTTCCGAGTTTCGTTAGTGTTAACTAAGAATTTTTCATTCAACTCTTTCACTAATTCTTGAGCATTTTCATTGCTCTTGATTTGTGATTGTTTTTGAGTAATTGCATCGGTTAATACTTGTCTTTCCTCTTTTTTCAATTCAAGGAGCTTGTTTAGTTCTTTGGAACGTGCAGCATAATTTTCTGGTGATTTGACAATTTTAGATTGCAATTCGGTAGTCACTTTGTGCAACTGTATTGTAGAAAAATAAAAAATAAAAACTGTTAATCAGTATAATTTTCAAAGAATGTGATTATAATCACAGAGATAATTTAATGTTACCTTCAGGGCTTTTGATTTAAGATCATTGCACTTTTTTGAATTATCTTGATGCTGCATTGTAACTTCTTTATCCTGATACTCCAATTCTCTTAATATTTTATTATCACTTTTGATTTCCAGGGTAATTTTATCTATTTCTTGTTGCAACTGGACACAGGAAAGATATTAGATTGTTGAGTGTATTTTATAAACACAAAAAAAACTATTAAAATGTTTTACCCAAAGAATTATGAAAACCTACTTGCTGCCTCAATTCGATTTTGTTCTCTCTTTCATGGATGGTTGCTCCAATTTTTGCAACAAGAGAATCCTTCTCGTCAATAATGTCGTCCATATACTTTTTTTTACCATCAAGCTGCACAAAGGCAACTTCGTTTTCTCCCATTTTATTGCGAAAGTACACAAAAAAGTTGATCAAAATTTTAATCAACATTTTGGCTTTCTTTGGTCCTGTGTAAAAAAAGGCAAAAAATAAAATTTCTTGTAAAAGAAACTGAATTAAAATAAAATTGTAATAACGTCCAACCGAGTACCTGGGCTTATGACATCCATCAGGCACAAGTCTTTAAGAAAAATTTCATTGCAAATAGAAGACAGTGCTGTATACACATTGATGACTTTGATGGCGTCAAACACTGAATCAGGACAAGATAGACAATCAAGCTGTTCAACAGTTGGCTGAAAAGAAAAACCTGTGAGATACATATTATGCAATTGGATATGTATAATTGAAAATAATGATAATTACCTTAGCTATCTCGTTGGCGTCCAAATAAAGTTTAACCAAGTACTCAGTTATCAGATAAACCATGAAGTCCTCTGTCGGGTTCTTTAGGTTTTCCATGCTTACTTGCAAACCTTGCGTCTGAAGATATGACAGCTGCTTTTCCAGCTCCATTTTTGAGCAGTTCAAAACTTTTTTGTAACTACAACACGAGAATTTAACTCGAGAGAAATAAGACGGTAGTCGCGGGTTCTGATGCTCGCTCGCATATATATTTCAGTTGGCTACTTATAGGACTTTTGCAAGAGCATATACTTTAGAAGTACATACATAGAAATCTACGATGTACTTTTTGTACATAAATTTATCTCTTAAAAGCAATAATAATTCGAAACTCACAGTGACACGAACACAAACAACAGAGTAAAACAACAGCAGAAGGGAGTAGGCGAGTACCGGCAAAACTAAAAATAATCCGTTGATACTTAAGGCGCATTTTCATGCCATATAGTCGATTTTATTAAACCATATAAGTAGATTATCTGTACTTTTGGAGGTTAATTTTCGGATAAAAGATAAATTGTAAACTTGCCGCAAACAGCTTAAATGATTTCAACTTATTAATATCTCTCTGTCAATTTAGTTGCGGCTGGTTTATAATTAATTATGTGGCTCTGCTATAAGTAGTAATAATTATTTGGATCAGCGCCATCTAGCGTTGCTGATTTCTGAACTAAAAAGTGGCCCTAAACTTTTTAGCCAGAGCTTTAGCGCCTAGAGCCATTTGGCCACTTATAAACCAACCGCAACTTATATTGTAGCTATAAAACAAAAAAATAACAATACATGTGTTTTTGGCGGCACGTTAACAATCTATTTTTTACTCAAAAATTCATCTTCAAAAGTATAAATACATATGAGGTCAATTTTTGGTAGAAAATAGNAATTGACCTCATATGTATTTATACTTTTGAAGATGAATTTTTTAGTAAAAAAATAATTGTTAACTTGCCGCCAAAAACACACGTATCGTTATTTTTTTATTTTATAGCTACTAAATGAGTTGCGGCTGGTTTATAATTGATTAAATGGCTCTAAGCGCTAAAGCTCTGGCTGAAAAGTTTAGGGCCACTTTTTTGTTCAGAAATCCGCAACGCTAGATGGCGCTGATCCAAATAATTATTACTACTTATAGCAGAGCCACATAATTAATTATAAACCAGCCGAAACTAAATTGACAGAGAGATATTAATAAGTTGGAATCATTTAGGCTGTTTGCGGCAAGTTTACAATTTATCTTTTATCCGAAAATCGATCACCAAATGTATAGATAATCTAGTATAGAAAGTAAGGCTCAATGAATGTATAAATATACTGACCCAATGTGAACTGTTATTTGGATCGAACTTCACCTATAGGCTATATAGGCTATAGGTATAAAGTTCATTTGATCCATCAACTATACTTATACTTATCAGTGTTAACTTTTCTCCATATACTCTCCAGTAGCATATACAGTATACTGACATCTGGCATGTTCAGGTGTACAATAGTTTTACTAATTATTTCAACTTGCAATAGTAACAATGCCATATGCCAATAAATAAACAAAATGAACGAACCATAAATATACATTTACATACACACATAAATTACATTCGTATTGTGGCAGTGGCACGTAATGGCTAAAACATATCATCAGCATACTACCGATAACAAATTTTTATGTATATTAATATACACATTACACACAGTACAAAATTACTTTAGACCTTTTACCGTTAACTCATGGAAGCACGGCCCTTTAACTTCACAGTTCCAATAAACAGTTAATTTATATGATATATATGTACATAGCAAAATTTGTGTTACAGAAACAGAAATCTTGAATAACGATCAAATATATACGTCGAAAGCAGCGTACCACGCTATTTCACGCGAATCATTAACGTTTTTATTTATAATTATTTTATGAGTTGCTAATCATTAACACCAAGGTAGTGGTATTTTATCTCTGGATGGTAGATAGGTGTACCAAGTTAGTATTGTGCCACTGCGACAATATAATTGAAGCTATAATTGAATTGATTGAAGGGATATAAGAAGACTTATCTTTTTTGAATAAACAAAACAAGTACAGCTAGGCGTTTTAAATTAAAAAATCTTTCCTTAAAGAGATGGTAGTAAAATTGTTAATTAATACAAAAAAAAATAAACCCCAGTACCCTCTTCCCGTCTAGCGTCAATTTAAGCCGTATAAATCCTCATTGCCTTCCTCGAGGCCACGAAAGCGTAAAATAAACGACTGAAAAAAACCGGTCTCGTCTCTCCTCTGGATCACGCATTTCTAACAAGTCGCTAAAGGTAGATGGATACTCGACTGAAAATGAATAGCAGCCAAGCACAGGTTAGACCAACTTTTACATCACATATGTTACTATTTTACTGTATAATTGTTTTAATAACAAAACTTGTTTCCTCGCGTTTAGTTCTGGACTTACGAACTTGTTTGCGTTGCAGTTTTTTTTTCTTCATATTCGGTATCTGTAAACCTTATCTTTTTGACAACCAGCAGATAATAAGTACTATGTGGCACATGTAGAAAGTAAACAAAGATATTTTTATTTTCCTTCTTTATTAGCTTGGTTCCTTGATCCTACATATTGTATGAAAAACTCTTTTATCCATCTCCATTGTTTATAGTTTTAAACCAGTTTATTTATGTAGATGTAATTCTAATTTGACCTTGACTTTCAGACTGTATGATCGATATCAAGTTATTATACTTTCAGTTTTCATTATTTTTTCATAGCATTATTTACTGTAGCTCGTGATCTATACTTATACATACCGATTCATAATTACTCCCTCATTACTTGCATACAATATAATATGTACCGTAGTTTTTAAGTATAAAGTGAAGAAATTACTTTTTATTTTTTTATTTATTGATTACATTAATTCTAAATTTTTTAAATTTATAATGCTATATTGTTTTTTAAAGTATTATGCCCATTTAACAGATCGGTAGTAAGAGTCTATCACAACACGATCGGAAATTTATCAAAGGCTCTCGGCAAGTCCTCGCAAAGTAGCCGTGATTATTAAAATTTAAACGATCGTTAATGCATACATTGTTGAAAAAATAAAATAATATGAAAATTTTGACTTTTTTTGGAGGGGGGGGGGTCGGTACAAAAAAAATTGAAATTTTTTTTTTAATCATATTAATCTACTTAGTCTTCTCAATTCACAAGAACGCCGAAATGAGGTTTAAACGTCCAATGTGTAGACAGCGGCAGGAGAGCCAATCGACGTCTTATTAAGTTTAACTAGTTAAAGGTAGCGCGCGCCAACGGAAGGGTCAATACAGTGTGGTCAAATATATTAAATGTAACATAAACAAAACTCGACTATTTCTTTGTCATTTTTTAAATATTTATTATATAATTTGATCATGCAAATGTACATCAATCCTTTTTCTCGACAATTAATTACGACTTTATTATTGTAGGATGAAGTTAATTCAATTGACGGTGTTGACCTCTTTAATGCTAATTTGTTAGAAAGAGTAGCGCATCAACTTTACAGCGATGGACTTATTTTCAGACCACTCAACAGCAAAGATTATGATAAAGGTGAAACAAATGACTTAACGTTTAAGTTTTTTACTTTGTTTATCTTTATTTACTTTTGACATTTCTTAAAAGGTTTTTTACAACTTTTGGGACAGTTAACTAACGTTGGCAACGTCACCAGAGATCAATTTCTTAGTAAGTCCAAAATTCATTATTTTAGCACTAAATACTTTCTCTTTGACCTACATTGACAATTATGTTCCTACAGATAGATTTTACGGAATGAAATGTTCTGGTGGATACTATGTCATTATAGTAGAAGATTTGAAATGTAAAAAAGTAATCGGTAGCGCTACGCTCGTCATTGAACAAAAATTTATTCACAATTGTGGACTGGTTTGTACACCCAATTTAATGATAAACTTTATAAATAAGATTGTCCATTACTTACATTTCTTCAGTTTGTATTTTTTTTCTTTTTTTTTCATTACACGAAAATCAATTTTTTTATACAAACAATTGTAATACAAAATATTAAATTCAATAATACTTATAAACAACTTGTTAAAAAAACTTAGACATACAACGTTGGCAAACATATGAATTTTTAAAGTGCATTTATTTAATATCACAGCGTGGACACCTAGAGGATGTCGTGGTGAACAAAGAGTACAGAGGTAAGCAGCTTGGCAAATTGGTCGTTATGGCTGTTAAGCATCTTGCACGGAGCCTACAATGCTACAAACTTACGTTGGAATGCCGAGACCGTCTAATCCCGTTTTACGAAAGTTTAGGCTTTAACCGAGAACCTGGCAATGCCAATTCTATGAACGTACGGTTTCCCCACGATAATCCAGTTGAACAGTCACGATTGTGACAATGACTTGGTACTTAAGCTTTTGTCAGAGTCTTCATGAATTTTTTCATCAAGTTTATTTCTACGTTTTGAGCAGAATTTCACATTTGAAATGAACATTGAGCTACATGTTAGAAAACACGAATCGTGTTTTCACCCAAGCCAGCTAGATTGTTTAAGATGTAATGACAAGCAGCTAGGTATAAGTTTGAAATTGTTAAATGTACAATTTTGTAAAAAAAAAACTATTGTTTGCCCTTAGTAATTGATGTATGATAAAAATATGGTCAACAATTTATTAGCTCTTCATAAATATTCAAATATAAATTTTTAGTGATGGCATCCTTAAGGAAGTCTCACATTTTCCCATTTTGTTATATTTGTAACAGAATAATATAAATAAATCTATATTTATAAAAACGTACATATGTTGACTTCATTGATTTAGAGTTTCTTAGCAGGAAGAATACTTCCTATGCTGTTTTCTTGTTTCGCCGCTCTTTTAGCTTCTAATTGCCTTTGCCTTGCCAATTTTCGTTCTTCTCTTTTTTTCCGCGATTCTTCTAATCGGCTACTTGACGTATTGCTTGGACCTACAATAATTTTGCAAAAACATTATTTTAAAAACAATAAACAGCTATAGACGTCAAATAAATAAAAAGTATCTAACTTGATTCACTTGGTTGAAAATCTTCTAAAGGTAGGAATTCATCATCATCCCATCCCGACTCTGTGTCATTTACTTTATCTTGACCTTCAGCGGCTTCTTCCTCCTTAAACAATTTTTTTTTTTTCTTTAATATAACTTAATTCATAAATTACAATACTTAAATTGTAAAATATCAGTTTTGTGGTATAATGTATTTTAGTACTAACTCTGGAGTCAAACACGCAACTATTTTTAAATCGCTGGTACTATAGTGGGTCACTTAATTTAAAACAGTAAAATAAAATCAGCAAAAACAAGAAAAACTTCAACTCACTGGTTTTTCTTCAAGACTGGTCCATTGTTCATGATTATTGTGTCCTTTAGGGGAGTGCGAAGCTGTATTAGTGTTTGATAAAGATCCACTCGTCGTGGTCTGTTGCTCCATGTCACCCCAGTCACCCGTGTCCCAGCAATCCCAATCGCAGTCTGAATTCGTGTTCACCGTATTTTGTTGAGTGTCGTGCTCATGATCGTGATCCAGTGAGGCCATACTTGTTGCACTACTCGTCGTTGCTGTTGTACTTGTACTGCTTTGAGAACTACTTGCATGTTCTGAAATAACATTAAAGTGATGATGTTATTTACATTTTTATAACATTATTTTCTCACTTTGCATTTTGTTACATTCAACTATGAGATGAAAAAATTTTTTTTTTAAATTAAATCTAAAAATAAATTACATTTATCCTTAGTTAACACTATTATGGATGTATATTAAAATACATTTTTAAATTGATTATCACCTAAAGATGCAGGCTTATTAAACAATATTCTTGATGTTCCGTGTACAGCAGATGATTTCGGATTATCAGATTGACTACGATAGAATTTGGCCGTCACTGCCGTAACTGCCCAGCCAGCCCAAGTCGCGGCCGCGTTGCTAAGACTTGGCGTTGTTGTATTAACATCAGCCTCTGAAAAAAATATTTTTATGTATTAATACACACAAAAGCCGAAAATAGAAATGATCGCTTATGCTCACCCATTGATTCACGAAGTCCGGGATCTTCCGACAATCTTTCAAGCTTAGATAGAAAGCCTTTTATCGTTCTGAATGCATTCTCCCTCACGCTTTTATCACTGTCAACAGTTAAAGGACAGAGTGCGGGTAAAATTCGATTGGCAACCTCTTGAAGTAAAAAGTACTGTTGGGTAGCTGCAAGAGCTAAAATACTGGCACTCCGTGCTGGTGGAAAAGGATCCCGCGTTCCACGGATAAATGCACCAATGAGAATCTATAAAAAAAAAAAAAAAAAAATTTTTTTTGTAGAATGTAACATTATACATTTTTGTGATTCAATACCTTCTGTCTGATTTGAGGATGTAAATGCTGTGCAATTTTTCCGAGACACACCGTCGTATTAGTACGAATTCCACCCTGATCATCATTAGACTGCAATTTAGCAAAGTACCTGAGGACTTCGACATTAAGATTATTGTAACCTAACTTTGGTGCTAAATGTACGATTGACTTTATTGTTTGCTCTCTCACAGCTGGATTAGTGTCCAAGAATCCTCGCGCAACCTGGAATATGAGTAATGATCAGTATTCGTATTATTCCAGGTACAAATCTGTGCTTCATAAAATAAGCCATTGTCTCTTAATTAAAACCTTTACCGTGCTATAAAAAAGGAAAAGTGAATGATAAAAAAGAACTAACCTGGGGAAATATGGCCTCATTAATAGTAACTGGCTGCAAGTGATTGACGAAACGATCAAGTTGCTGGAGTAATCTCAGTCTAGTAGCCCTATCATTTGACGCAAACAGCTTGACGACACAGGGCACAACCCGCTGCTGGTACTCATGGTCTGGCAAAAGACGCCCTAATTGCAGAAGTGGAGGCAGAACGGCGCTACCCGCCTCGCCGTACTCGAAAGCAGCTTTGAGCTGGGGTAGTATCTTGTAACGGCCTATACCCTCGGGAAAAGCGTCCAGTTGATTCGTGAGTTGTGAGAAAAAACGACTTTTTTCATTCTTTTCCTTAACTTGAATCTCCTCTAGAAATAGCAAGGCGTCCACAAGGTCGTTTTTGAAGAATCCGCCATTACTGCGACAACGGACTATCATGTCAGCTGGATTTGGACGGCATTCTGCAGAAGAACTTATAATCTCTTGGTACACTGTTACCAGGGCTTTGGGAATCTACATGAGTAAAAACATTTTTTTATTAGTATTCATAGTACTAAGAGACATTACTTATTTATGCTTAGTAGACATTTAATTTACCGTTTATGATAATTAAAAAGTACTAATAAAACAAGTGACTTACTTTGTCCATGGCATCAAGATTTCCAGCTGAAGTAAGTTGTGTATTAAAAGCTTCCCAAATAAGGCAGCCAAGGCCCCACATATCGACACAACTGTAAATTAAAATACATCATACATTTTTAATTAGAAAAAAATTTATATATATTTTTCAAAATTCATAAGGCCACATCATTAAAATACCATTTTGAACAAGGTTTTACATTCTCTTTGGCATCAGGTGGTCGATAAACTTGGAGTTCAGGTGGTAACGATGTATATGGTGCATCTACAGCTGTCATAAATTCAACACCTCCAAGTTTCCATTCACCGCTTTCTTCATTGACAAAAACTGACCATACGTTAACATTGTTGTGTCGTAAATTCCCATCGTTGTTTAAAAAACTTAAAGCTCGCTAAAATCAGTGAAAAAAGAGGAAAATTAACTTTTGGATAATAAACATTTTGTTGAACAACACAGCGGCAATAAAGTAAAATTATTAAAAGGTGTCATTGATACTGTATTGCTTAAAAAAATATTTAGATATTTTACTTACAGTTATCTGAAATATTCCCCAGGAAAAGTAAAGCTCACGTTTGTTACCTTCCCCAATATCGGCAACTCTGGAAAGACGATTGTGCAAGGGTTCAACTCTTTCAGTGGCCAAATAAATTGTCTTGTCTGTCTGTAGTAATATAAATACGAAAACAGATAATTATTTTACTAGCGTCAATAATAAACGAGTGTTAAAATACCATGGAATGTAAATATCTACCTCTAAACTATTTAAGTAAGCAAGTATACTTGGGTGTCGCAGTGTTTTCAGTCTTTTTACTGCAGCTCGGGCAATGTCCAACTTATAGTCGTTACCATTTTTTGCTTGGAAGACAAAGACTGACACTTCTTCACCTCCTGTAGCACCTGCTAATGCTGTTCCCTGTTGAATATAAAGTGAATAATGTGATTCTTTTCCAACAGTTAAAAAAATGTACAAAATTTGGGGGAAGAAACATGATTATAAGTAAAGAAGCCGACTTGAGAGTGGTAAATAGCAGTATGGACTTACTCTTATAACATGGCATGAAAGTTTTTCTGACTTAATAAGAGGTCGCAAGTCTGATGAATTTTTCCAAACCCAAGTATACATCAAAACAAAATCATAACATGTTTAAAATTTAAATCACACTATCTGTTGCAAAATCTTAAGAGTTGAAAACAGAGTACTGAAAGTTATTTTATAAATCAACAATATCACACTTTCATTTGTTAATAATTACATGTAAGCATTATGTACAGCTGTAAATTAGAAATGTTTTGAACATGTAGTTACATTTTCGAACGTGTTACCTTGCGCTTGGCCTTATGCAAGCTCCAGATGCTCTTATTGTCAAGACCAGTAACGGATTCACCGATTTCGTAGGGAAAGTCTTTGGTAGGGTCGCGCGAAAAAAGCCACATCTTGACGGAGCAACAAAGGCACTTTTAACATTTACTCATCAACAAGCTTGACAGTCAAAGGGTCCATTTCCCAGTGGCACGGTAAAGTGTGTTTTGAGATAATTGAGAACTCATATATTATATGTTATTAATGTTATTATGTGTCACTCTGTTGAGTAAAATATTCCACAGATATCGGAAACACGTATCTTGAACATTTGCAATCAACGTAATAGAGTAAGTATGTAATTATGTCCAACACTGTTGACCCCTTATTTATTATTCGTTCCCATGTCTTGTGGTGATAGGATTAATCTCATGACTCATGACTCATGACCTGATCACACTACAGACGAGAGCCCCCACGAATGCACCAGCTTCTTCAGCCTTAAAATTGTAATCTGAGAATCCCTAAGATCTCTCGATTAAGGATCCAAGACGAGAGAGATACGAAAGCAAACGTTGACTAAGTAGACGAGGCTTTGATAGCGACTGAATACACCTCTAAAAAGTCTGCATGCCATGAACTCTATTTGTTAACTATACCTATATAGCAGTTTAGTGACTAAAGTGACATAGTGACTCTGACCCTGTGACCTGGTAATTGGTGATAGTGATTAAGTGATAAGTGATACATCTGCAATTTGCTGTGGTATTTTATAACCGTCATAATGATAATAAAATAGTACTAGAGATTTTACTAATTTACTCAAGTTCTATTGCTATAAACCATCATTTTCATTTTACACGTACAGAGGTGGGATAGTCGTAATTTTAGTATTTAAAAAATTAAGAATACAAATGAATTAATGAAAAAAATTTTTTATTTAAAATCTACTAATTGCAATTTTTCAAAGTAAAAAATACAATTATTTAAGATTATTTCAGTGACTACCAAAAGTATGTCAATTAACACTAACAGTACTTGAATAAAGTACTTAATGAAGATCATAAAAAATTATTGAATGACAACAAAATACACTGCTTATCCACTACTCAGGTAACAAATACAAAGATGTGTCTCAACTTGTTGAATATCAAGACAAATATACGTATTACGTTACTTTTTATTACTTAATTTAAACATTACTTCAAATTATGACATTTTCAAATATGTGTGACGACAAATTCCAGGGGACCAGGGAGCCAATCGCAAGCTTCGAGTCCAACGGAATCGTGTCAGCTGATCGGCTAAACATGTTAACTGATTGGTTGGAGGGTTGGGTGGTAGTTGTTTGTTGAGCTGCTCGCTCGGTAAGACTGATCCCTCATTTGACAACCGAGCACATGCAATACGCAATACATATAGATATAGGCATACAGTTATACAAGGACGGAACGTTCTGTTCTGTCGTTCTGATTTGTTCCGAATTCTGAATGGCGTTGTTGTATTTTGTACGTATGATCGGATCGACGTGAGCGAGGCAGAAGTCGATCTAGTGCAGCACCAGGGCCAGGGTAGTAGTTCCTGGCCTAGTGGTCGCTGTTCTCCTTTTATTGGGTTCATTTCACTCGTAGAAGACGTGGGACGTGATCATTAAATAGGAGCAAGAGACGAGCGTGCAGTTTGTGAACGAAAAAAAAAAAAAAAAAAATGATAAAACGCTCTACTTCAAAGCAGTATAAAGTATACAACAACGGAGTAGCGTCAGGCAAACAGCGAGTGTCTTTCGCCTGGTCTCTTCTCTCGTACGGTGAACAACAATTGAGAGGTTTCAGGATTACGGAGGGAGACGCGCGTTAATTTGCTGCAGCTGCAATTGCACAAGAGAACGATGGGAGCGACGACTACGAGGAGACGATGCGAGGACGACTGCTTCATTGCTGCTGCTGCTCTTGCTCAGGTTTAGGCTGATGCCGGCTATCGAGTGTTTGTTTTTTTTATTTCAATTTTTGTGTTGGAAGAAATTACAGACAAATTCATGGAGGAACCCTACTTCTTATACATAATCAATCGGATTCAGGGTTTTCTCTTGTTTTACGTTTTGGAGCTGGTGCTATATTTTCAGTTGTGCATTGTTTGGGGTAATCGTCATTGTTACAAATTGATAAATATATTGTTTTCTCTTGTCTGACCAGTGACGCAAATTGCGGGGCTTTGTTTTAGTTATAGTGAATATTGCGTGTGTAGGTACAATGTAGGATGAGATTGTATTGTTTATTGTTTATCATTGAGTTACCCCTTACTGTACAGTTTTTTTTACTCGAGCCAGATTTTATTGATTAGCTGTTGATTCGTGTAAGTCTCTCTTGAAATTTGTTTTCTTCATCGATTTTACATTCAATCCGGTTTTTATATTTATGATTAGTGAGTTTTCTCTGTAATTTATGACTCAATTTTGAAACAAAAATATTGTAAATCAGTTTTTTAATTGAGAATTGAATATTAGAAAATATTTAGTTACATGCATTGATAACTATAAATAATGTTTCTAAGAAAATTTTTTTTTATTTCCAGATTTGATGTGACAGAGTAATCTTTAACACATTGACTCATCAGCATTGATGAAATAATCTACTAGTTCTTTCAAAATGATCAGTGTGCAATTAAAACGAAATGTGGCCATCAGGTGATAATATAGCATGTTTGGTATGCTGGTTCAAGGGGTCATGAAAGTAGTTCAAGTGATATAATTTAGTCTGATGTTGTATACACATTTGAGCCCATAATATGATGGGAATATTGTATGAAAAGAGGCCTCTCAAAAGGCCGAGGCTAGGACCACCGGACGTCTATCCTCAAGAACCTAAGCAAAAAGAGGATGAATTGACACCAAACAATGTTAAGCATGGCTTTACCACTTCCTTACAACTGTCGGATGAGCACGGCACTGCTAGAAATTGTAATGTCACCGCAGCTAAGGTGGGAGCTTACTTTCATAGTATATTGGCAAAGAAGGAAGAGCTTGCCACTATGCCTGATTCAGGCAGGAAGAGACAACAGATTAATCCAAAGGATAATTTTTGGCCTGTAACTGCTAGAACTAAAAATGGTATTGAGGCTTGGTTCAAGGATCTGTCAGGCTGCAAGCCATTAGTATCTCTGGCTAAAAAAGCTCCCAACTTCAATAAGAAAGAGGAAATATTTTCTATGCTGTGCGAATATCAAGTGCCCATGTTAAGAGCTGCCTGGTTCATAAAGCTTAGTTCTGCTTACACAGTTGCAGTTTCAGAAGCTAAAATTAAAAAGAGGCAATTACCAGATCCAACGACAGGTAAATATAATTGGTTCACTTGATACTTTAAAATTGAAGAAAAAAATGTTTTGAATTTATTTATTTGTACACATATCTGTGTAAAATTGAGGCCCTTTACAATAAATGATACAACGATGTACTGACGCGATTATTCTAACTGTACATGCTCGAAAAGTCTAGGTTTTCAACCTTCCCGGTATTTTTCGTTTTTCAATCTCAAAAATACCTTCCCAAGATTCACATGATTTTCAGAGTGGGTTCAAAAATCACATTATCTGGTCTTTTACAGAATGGACAGGAACGTTGACAAAGTTTCTTAAGGACCAGCTGTCGAAGCTTCAAGACTACTATCATCTAAGCAGTCACTCGTCAAGCAGCTCAAGCTTAAACACCAGTGGTAGCAGTAGCAGTAGTAGTGGAAGCGGTGCCACAGCTAATGGACCCTCCAACTCATCCTCGAGTAGTAGTGGTGGCAACAGTTCGATAACAATGAACGGCACTGCGACACCCGGTGGCCAAGGTATCACTGCAAACGGTATCTTGAACGTCCAGCCTGTCACACCCAACGCGAATTTGATTTCAAACAATCTGTGCCCCCACACGCCGGCTATGAGCGAGGAGCACAAGCTTGCTTTTAGACAGTGGCACTACTGCACTCAATTAGCCAAATACATGTTTGAAGAAGGTCTACTAGACAGGCAGGAGCTACTCCAGTGGATCCTCGAGCTGTTGGACAAGATGCGCTCGGCACCGTCTGACGACGGGATCCTAAAAATTTTACTGCCATTAGCTCTACAATACCTCGAAGAGTTTGTGCAGTCGGAGCTATTGGCTCGCAAGCTCGCTTATCTATGTTGTAAAAAGATAGCGCACATGTGTAATAATTTGGATACCTCTTGCAATCCTCAAAGTCCGTCCGCTGTCGCTGCTGCTGCCGCGGCAGCAGCAGCAGCAGCAGCAGCAACAGTAAAGAGTGAGTTAAATGGAAACAAAGACGGCATGTCGTTGATAGCGCCCGTGGTCAATCAGCTAAATGCTTTGTTCAACGATTACTTAAATTGTCCTCATCATAAGGACGTGCTTTACGGACTCTCGGCTATTATTCAGGTAAATTCAAGTCAATGGAAGGTATATTTTCCGGGTATTATAATTGAATTTTGTGAGCTTATTATTTAATTTGCTTATAACTAGGTCATCACGTTAGAATGTCCGACAGCATTGGTCTGGAACAATGTTGGTGAAGGTAAATCGATCTCGGTACTGAACGGTTCACCATTGGACCATTTGCCATGCCCACCTGCTGCGCTGCCAAGCCCACCGTCAAGTGCGGCTGATCCGACAAAACGCCTACTCAAGATAGCTCAAGAAAATATTCGGTTGCGTTCACAGGCTGCTGAGAGTAGGTGGTCTTGCGACAAGTGGCAACAGAGCAGTGCGGGTTAGCTTTTTTATGAGAATGACTCTATTTATTTTAAATTTCATATGAAAGCTTGACGTTATTTTTGGTTTAATCAATCGGTCATATTCCAGGTATGACAACGACAAGAGTATTAGCAGCCCTGGATGCTTTAGACCGGCATAGTTTTGATCGGATGGATGCCAACAATTCTCTGGACACGCTCTATGCCAAAATTTTTACGAATCCAACAAAAGATGCTAGTGGCGGCACAGTGGCAGGAGTCACGCTGCCTTGCAGTAGTAGTAGTAGTAATAACAGCATCAATGCCAACCCGTCGATTTCTACGGGCGACAGTGCTAATTCAAAGACCGAATATAATCCGCAGCACGACGCGCCAATTGTTGAGATTTTGTGCGAGTGGGCAGTCAGTGCCGAGCGTTGGGGCGAGCATAGAGGAATGGCTGTAGCTAAATTGCTGGAGAAGCGGCAGAGCGAAGCGTTGGGCGAGAACAACGATAACGACGACAAAGATAGTGTTTGTAGTAACGGAAATGGTCCACCTGCGCTACCCATCTTCCAGTCATTGCTTATGAAGTTCCTTGATGTCGATGCACCTGTGCTCGATAACAACTCGCTCCAGTCTAAAGCGCAGTTCACAAATCTCGTGCATCTATTCGCAGAACTGATAAGGCACGATGTTTTCTCGCATGATGCTTACATGTGTACTTTAATATCCAGGGGTGACCTCATACAAGGTAAGCTGACCAAGTTTAGATAATTGTTTTTTTTTTTTTTTTTTGTTTGACAAGAAAATTTTGCGTTTTCATCAGGTCCAGCAGCCAGCAAAGCCAGCACACCAAGTAATCGCGATCCCATGGACGAGGACAGCTTGTTTCCTGGTATTGACTTGAAGCCGACGAAACTTGTAGAGCCGCACGACCATTTGCGCTCAACCAACGATTACGACGACAGCAAGATCGACGACGACCTCGACAAGATTTTACAAGATATCAAGGACGTACAGCAGAACAGTATGGATGCACCTGATAGTCCCAAAGAGAGCGACGCACTCCATGGCCCCCACGATACCGGTCTTGACTCTTCTTCGAAGCCACCTTCTAGTCCAAGTCGGCATCTCCTCTATACGACTCACTTTCCTCTACCCCAAGACGAAACCTGCAGTCAGCACGATTGCAATCAACGACACGTACTCCTCTACGGCGTAGGCAGGGTAAGGGACGAGGCGAGACATGTAGTGAAAAAAATGACCAAGGAGGTGTGCAAACTATTTGGCAAAAAGTTCAGCATCGACGTCGCCGAGGGCGGTAAAGTCAAGAAACACTCGCGCAGCGAGTTCAACTTTGAGGCTACCACCCAAAAGTTTCAGAATCTCAGTTACTTTGATCAGCATGTGGTCACTTGGCAGTGCGCAACTCAGGTCGTCGACATGCTCAACACCTTCGTCACGGGCTCCTCGTATCTGCCTGTTCAGGAGCACGTGGCTTTCCTCTTTGACCTCATGGAGCTTGCTCTCAATATTTACGGACTCATCGAAATTTGCATACAGATTCTAAAAGAGCTTCCAGATGTAGAGGCGCAGCTGGACGCCAGAAAGAGCAATCTTGTACGGAACTACACGACGAATCTTAGTCTTTACGTTGTCGGTGTCCTCAGGCGATATCATTGCTGCCTTTTGCGTAAGTTTTTATAACTTTTTAACAATTTGTCACCATCATTGTTCAAGGCTACTCGATCCAAACACTCTCCCGTTTTTTTAGTCTCTCCGGAACAAACGACCGTGGTCTTCAGCCTCCTTTGCAAGATGGTGGCGCACGTCTCGAATCCTAGTGACTGCAGCTCAGCCGAGCGTTGCGTGCTGGCGCATCTCTACGACCTATACTCCAACTGTTCGCTTTTAAAGACCAAACCCCACAGTTCCGAGGGCTTCAACAACGCGAATCCAAAAATTCGCGCGGCTTATTACACCGCACTCACGCTCACGCCATCGAATCACTTGTACAACTCGGATTTCATGTTGGACGTGCTGAATAGCCCACGTCGCGGTGGCAAGATCGAGCCCCAGTGGGCAAGGCAGCTCAACGAGACGCCGGCCAATCGTTACAGCTTCGTGTGCAATGCCATCATTATCGTGTGCAGCGAAACCGACAACGACAAGCTCAACGACATCGCGATAACTTGCGCCGAGCTCACGGCGTGCTGCAACTCGCTGAACAACGAGTGGCTCGGCGTACTTAGCGCTCTTTGTTGTTCGTCCAGCAGTTCTACCAATTACATCGACGTACAGAGTCAGGTCGACGTTACTAATTTAGCCATCCACAATTCGTTGGCCGTTTTTGTTTCCATACTAATAGGTAAGTCATTTCATTGCATCCCAAAGGTTCTAGGCAATGTTTCACTTGCTGATTTTTTTAATCCACAGCCAGACACTGTTTCTCACTGGAAGACTTTGTCCGACACATCGCTATCCCGTCTCTCGTAAAAGCCTGCGATGATGGTCGTGGCGATGCGGACATGGATGCAGAGGCAGGCGCTCGGCTCACCTGTCACCTATTATTACGTCTATTCAAGACGATTGAGTGTCCTCAGCCGTCCCTCTACTCCGTGGGCACGAGTCCACACCCAAATAATATTAATCAGCGTACTTACAGTATCAAGCTTAGCTGTGACAGGCATCTGCTCGCCGCCGCGCATAACAACATCAGCGTTGGACCGCTGATAGCTGTGCTGAAGGCAATTCTCGTGGTGGGCGATGCCACAGCAGGTAAACAGCCACCCAAGAAACCTGATACGCAGATTCACTCGGGCAAAGGTGGGCCTGGTAGTGTTGGGGGTAGCGTGTCCGGTGAGCTGTCCATCAGTCATATTTTAGGTAATAATTTCTGGCTATGAATTTATTTCAACCAATGGAAAGTCAGTTTTTATCGTATTAATATTTTGTTTGTTGCATTATTTAGGAACAAGTGATATTCTTGGTGGGGGTGACGATCTTGGCTTGGATCTGGGTATGTCGTCATCAAACAGTAGTGTCGGAATGACCACGGAGAATGTGAAAGGACTCTCGGATTTTGCTCAACACGTCTTGGGACAGATATGTAGTCAAAAATGGGTTCTCGAGAGGTGTTTGCAAAATCCGGAGGAGCTCTGTCAGGAGGACATGCTTCTCGATAACATGCTCACTCCTCAACAGGTAAAAATCTCATCTTGATCCTCGGCTTAAAAAAAGTGTTAAACTCTTTCATTTCTTGTAACGATGAAAAAAAATAATATCAACGTTTACAGGCTCAAAGATTGCTTCACATGATCTGCTATCCCGATACATCACCAGACGCATTTCTCGATCAAAAAACTCACATCACGAATATTCTTGAGAATCTTGAGCAATGGAGTTTGCGCGTTTCCTGGCTGGATCTGCAGCTACAGTACAAACAGTTTCCACTTAATTCAACTGAACTTTCTCAGTGGCTGGATACCGTGGCCAAGGCAGCCATCGATGTTTTCCAGTTGAACAATGTATCCAGTAAGCCTGAGAAAAGGTCGGACTCTATTTGGCTGGTAGCTCCTCTAGTGTCCAAATTGCCCAGTGCTGTGCAGGGTAGAGTGTTGAAAGTAGCTGGGCAAGTGTTGGAGTCCGGTAACTGGTCCAAAGCCGCAGGTAGAGACAGTCGAAGGTCGAAGAGCCCGTCGATGTTCAATCACCAGCCTTTTTTGTCATTGGTGTTGACGTGCCTGAAAGGTCAGGACGATCAGAGGGAAGGTCTCCTGACGTCGCTGCATTCGCAGCTGTCTCAGTTCTGCACAACTGGCAAGGATGAAAAGAGCATCGGCAGTGACGATCCGAAGCTCCAGCTGCGCTTTAGCCTAGTTGGCGGTGTCTTTGACACGATACAGCGCAACATTGCGGTTACAAACGACTGGGCCATGCTTCTGGTCCAACTTGTTAGCTACAGTGTCATTGATCTCAACAATAGCTCTGAACTTTTCACGACAGTCATTGATATGCTTGCCACTCTCATACATTCCACCCTAGTCTCGGATTCACAGAGTGAAAAGGATGAGAACAAAAAGTACTATCAAAACCTCATGAAGAAGTTGAAAAAGGAATTAGGTGATAGGAATAATCAAAGTATACAGTTTGTAAGGCAGCTACTGCCACTACCCAAAGTAACAATGGAAGTCATAACCTGCGAACAAGTTGGTTGTCTCACAGATACAAAGGGTAATAAGATTACGGGCTTCAGTAGCATCGATAAGAAACAAGTAAGTAGCATAAAACTTATTACGAAAGATACTTATTGTATCGATCTGGCAAAAATTTCATTTCTAAAATCTGTCCATCAGGGACTGCAAGTGTACAATGCGCAGCGTGTTTCTGCGTGGGAGCTGCTTGAAGGTCACAAGAATCCAGCTCCACTGTCCTGGGCCTGGTTTCGTGCCGTAAAGCTCGAACGTAAACCCTTGACGTATCAGAACGCGCACAAACTGCTGCGTTACCACACACACAGTCAGATCAGGCCTCCGTCGTACTACTTGGAGCCGCCTCCATTGCCTCCCGAAGATCTCGAGCCCGACAAAAAAGAACTAGAGCCTGGTAAGGCCGACACACCCATGAGTGTCGACTCGCCTGGACGTATTATGGCTGGAATGAGTGGTATGGGCAAGGGCAAAACTGCCAAGAAGAGACCCCGCAAGAGCAAGGGCGCTGTCACGCCTACGAATCCCATGGTACCTCAACAGATGCCGGTATGCTTCGACGCGTACTTGTGCTTACGAATTTTTGGAAAATTGAATATTAATTTTCTTATTGTATTTTTTCTCAAACGTCCAAACAGCAGGGACCCAACACCATGCAACAGATGGGTTACAATCCTCAGGTGCAAATGGCACAGCAGCCCAACATGTTTCCTAACCAGCCGCCACAAGTGCCGCAGCCGCAGCCTCAACAACCGCAACAGCCTCCGCAGCAGCAGCAGCAACAGCAGTGGTATCCAAATCAACAGCAGGCTCCTCAGGCTTGTCAGCCATACAACCCTTACGGGCAACAAATGGCCCCCGGCCAGGTCGGTGGTCCACGTTACGATCGTCCTGGACCCACAGGCTTCAACCAGTCGCAGTCTAAGCAGGCACTCACCAACATGCTCAGGCTACGATTGCCGTCGAATCAGTTCCTGGCCACACAACAGCAGCCCCAACCACCTCAACCCCAAGCGCCCCAACAGGGCGCGATGCCCAACGCAGGGCCTCCACCGAACGTTGCGGCTGCTTTTCCCGGGCCCACCGCTATGCAACGCACGCAGCTTATAAGGCAACAAATGATGCAACAGCAGCAACAGCAACAACAACAGCAACAACAGCAGCAGCAGCAGCATCAGAAACAGCATCCAGGACCACCTGGCATGCAAGGTCCTCAGCAGGGTCTGTTCGGACCACAGCAAGCGCAGCAAACACAGCAGCAGCAGCAGCAGCAGCAACAACAACAACAACAACAACAACAACAACAACAACAACAACAACAACAGCAGCAGAGCATGTACGCGGGTATGCAGCAAGGTATGCCCTGGATTTAATATTTTTGTGTTACTCTGTCGTCTGACTGGGTATATGATTACCATTCACTTTTCGTCCTGTAGGTATGAATCAGAATTACACCGGCTACGGAGGTCAGCAGATGATGGCTCAACCACAGCAACAGCAGCAGCCAAACATGATGGCCCAGCAACAGACCATGTTCCAGAATCAGCAGCAAATGATAGGAACGCAAAATCAACAACAGATGATGAGCGCCCAGAACCAGCAGCAGATATTGAATGCTCAGCGTAGTCAGGATTACATGCAACAGCAAAGGATGCAACCGGGGGCTCCAAGGCCACCTTATATGCAGGTTTGTGTTATCATTACATGTTTTGATTTTTATCGTATTTTTATGTATTTTCATTATTTTGTTGATATTGTTCAGCAGGCGCCAAACGTTACGATGAATACAATGGGTCCAATGGGTGGTGGCGTACAAAACCAGCCGGCACCTCCTTACCGGCAAGCAGGTGGCAAACCCGGTGCCCTGAATGTTGGCGGTGTTGGCCAACCCAATGTTGGTCTTCAGCCGAATCAACAGCATATGCAAAGCGTAAGTAATACAGCTAAATCACGTATTGTGTCAAGCTTGAAGGGAAATTTACACAATCGGAATTGCCATTTCAGCAACTACTAAGCCAACAGCAGCAACGTGTAAGGCAATTGATCCTGCAACAGCAACAAAATATGCAACAACAGCAAGCCCAACAGCAAACAGGCACTGCCGGACAACAGGCAACCCCTCAACTGGTTGCCCACCTGCAGCGTAATCTCAATCCGGGCCCACAACATCCTTACCAGCACCAACCACCGCCTTACTAAGTGTACTTCGTCGAGTTAAAAAAAAAATAAAATAAAAAAGTTTACATGTGTATGTGGCTGTGTTTGGCGCCTCTTCATGGACGCAACAATTAGTTAAATGGAACATGCGTTTTAGGTGAAAAAAAAAAGAGAAGAAAACAATTTAAACCCACAGAGTCATTGTAAAACTTGTAAATGTTTAAGTATTTTACTGTGGGAAAGTTTTTAAGTTGACTGCATGAATGGGTGTAGTTAATTCATTAAAAGCTATGAAAGAAATGAATGAAGAAAAACAAAGCAAATCATTGCCGAATTCTATTTGAGAAGACGTAAGTATATGTGTATGTAGTGATGTTCAAGTGTGAGAGTGATAGAAAGGTATAATTATTTTTTAATTTAGTAAGTGAACCAATTTCAAGAAATAGATGGTGTGGAAACAGGGCTCTGACTTGTAAATGATTTTTATTTTGCATCAATTTTTAAGCTGTAAATTATTTCAAAGATAATTATTTTTTTCCTTTTTTATTTTCAAAATGGTGTACCATAATTGGTACCAACAATCAATGATCATTGTGTATCTTATTGATTCAGCATGAAATGTAATTTTATAAAATGATAGTTGACCAAGCTCAGCTTTAATAGAATTTTTTTTGTAAATATTGTTTAGTTCCAATTGACAATAAATGAAATATATTAAATTAAAACATCCAATTATTGAGAATAAATAATNTTTTGTTCAGAGTAGCTACGGGATTGCTTGGCAAATTATATTTATAGGGAATACTCGTTGTCATCTCTTGCAGATATGAGAAGATAAAAAAAATGTCACAAAAACGAATCCCTGGCTGGCTACAGGTAATAATTCAATTAAAATGGTATTGCTCCGAAAAAATTTTTGCCGAAATGGAAAATTCAAACACACGTCAAACATTGCTGTATAAAATTCGTTCTTAAAACTGTTTACCTCAAAAAACACTTTACGACGCGTCATTAGCCTGGATACGCTTGATAAAACTGGCCACAGACCCATATATTTCACTTTCACTCTAGAAAGCAAAAAAAAAAAAAAAAAAATTGTGTGCAAGAGTATGGCTGTCCTAAACTCTGATAATAGTACGGTAAGGGAAACATAAGAAGTCTGCGAACGAGTAGATATTGCCAGAACAGGTAGCGTCTTTGTCTCAGGAAAGGGAGTTTTCTTCCTGAAATATGCATTATTGCAGGGAGAGAGAGAGAAAAATAAGACCCATTGTATACACCCAGCACGTCCGAATCGGCTGATCAATAATTCAAAAGCACCGTGCGAACCTTTAGAAAATTGGATCGCTCTTTTGGAATGCACGAGTGTGATCGAGGTGGAGGTGTTAGCGTTGCTATTTTTTTTTTTTTCTTTATTTCATTTAGTATTGAACGCTTTGAGTAACATATTAATGCCCTCATTTGGTGTGGAGTCAAGAAACCAGCGAGTGGATTTTCACGACGTTTCAAACGCTTAACGTAAAAACCATGCGATAAGAAATTCGTGCGGTTACAAATGTGGCAAGAGTTTGGACTGCTGCTCTCTAATAAAGGCAAACAACAACAACCATTGGAAAATCAGGTCGGACTATCTGCTGTGGACATTAATAGTCCCGATCAACTCGCCAAGGACTCCCCCAGCTGCAGTAAAACCAAGAAAGATACTCTTGAAAAAAAGAAACTCTGATCGGCCAGTCGTAAGGTGGAGGAAAGAAGTCAAACATAATGTATGCAGTATCGATTTCAATTGATCTACTTTCGCATCGCAACGTACGCTGTTTTTCAATTATGCTAAAAAAAAAAAAAAAAAAAAAAAAAGAAAAAGGTGAATGCGAGCGGGCACGCATCGGGAAAGGCTCCGTTCTCCCCAGCGCATTCCGGATGAAACGGCGCAAGTGACGCCCACCCCCCTACTGCGACTCCCCCGTAAGAGAGAGGGAATCGGAGCGGATTCGATCGGGAAGCTATAGAAAGGGAGTCGGGGAGCCGATATGTCGTGGACGTCGACGTCGAGGAAACGTTGCCGGAGCTAGTGTGGGACCCACCGCGAGGGAGGATCGATCAAACGGTCGCGGAGTGTTGTCGTTGGCGTTTATTCGCCTTCATCGTGCACGAGAGAGTACATCTGGAGCTTGAGAAGATAATAAAAAAAAAAAAAAAAAAAATCACCCATCGTCGCGTACACCCGCTCGAGTGCTCTTGTTTTTCCCTCGATCGACACGCGTACGAAGAAAAGGAGGAGGAGGAGGACGCCAAGAAAAGGGAAGCAAAAAGTGAATAATATTGTGTGTGTGTGTGTGTGCGTGCAAAATTTTACCGCAGAGCCGTGCTGCCGCCGTTTTTTTTTCCCTCTCATCCTCGTGCTGCCTCGTGCGTGTGTTACCCTGTACGTCCACCCCCTACGTGTACGTGTAAACACACACAAGTACGCGCGGTGCAAGTATAGTACACGCGTATCATAACATGTGCGGCGGTGCGCGAAGGTGAGCGTGCCTCTGGCGCGCGGGTGTGTGTATGTGTGTGTGTGTGTGTGTGCGTGGGGTTCGCAAAAAGGAAAAACAAAAACAAACCGACGCCAGCCACCCCCTCGCCCTTTGCCATGATTACTGCTCTTTCTGTTCTTGTTTGATCCACGGCTGGTGCTAATAAAAAACGGAAACACACACACGAGGACTGAGCACCGCCACTGAAGATAAGGCTCGTTTTGTTTTCGGTTCCTCGCCCTCAACTGTATTCTTTGGTTTTTCGTCGTTATCACGGAGTGCTCCGGTTGGGCTACTCGTCGGCGACGATCACACCGGAGCTGTAAAAACGGAAGAAAGAAGAAGGTAGTGCGACGTCGTCCAGTTTTGTGCGAAGCCTGTGTTCCGTTTCTCCGATTACGAGTGGGTTGTCGGGGTACATAAAAAAAAATCCCTCGGTCCTTTGCGAAAAGGAAGAAGAAAAACCATGTCCACGTGATATACGTCAAAGGGAAGAAAGAAAAAAAAATAGTGGTGCGCGAGAGTACATCACGATAATTATCCGTAAGTGGGGGATACGCGTGTTTGTTGCAGCGTCGGTACCGTCGACCCCGCGGCCGAAGATTGAACCTGGGACGCCCTCCGTTTTCCCGTCCCCGCCTTCTTTAGTCTCTACGCAACGTCGCTGCCACCGCCAAAACCAACACAACAACCACGTAAGTTCAAACCAATTTTTTCACGATTTTCACTTAGCTCCGGGGACAAGTGTGCGATTATTGCCACGGCCTTTCTATCGCAGTAGTAGAACCAGCCCCTACGAGGTCAGACGTACGATTGTACTCGGCTTATTCCCCCGCCCCTCAAAAAAAAAAAAAAAAAAAAATAATACGTGTATGTGTGTGTTATCAATAACTTGAAACTACTCGAATCATCCTGTGAGGGAACAAAGAGACGAACCCTGGTTTGATTTGAATTCCGGTGATTCCTTTGTCATCAGCGCGAGCCAACAGAGACACCGCAACAACAACGCGACTCTTTCGAGCGCGCACGGGCAACGACGCGGCGATAATAATCATCATCGATCGGGTGTTTAATCAGGAGCTGACCCCGATCCGGCCGCGCGCGATATCGGACCTAATCAAACCACCCCCTCTTACCGACGCCTCGTGACGCCAAGTGTCATCGCCGCGCCGCGTTCAACACCACGCGTTTCGAAACTTTTGCCGAATAGCGCGTGTAATTCACGTTTCGTCGCTCGATTCTCCTTCCATGCATAGGCTCAGCCTCTTGCGATTGAGCGCTTTTGTGGTTGTTTGCTTTTTGCAATATTGGGAATTTCAATGATGAAACATTTTTCACATAAGGTGTAAAACATCGTTTGGAAGAAAAAAAAAAAAAAAAAAAAAAAAATCGTAATTCGCATCTACTTTGATCTTACAACTTAAGAGAAAATATTTCAACTCGTACCCCAATATTCCCTTCGCCACGTTGTTTCCCCTACCATTTACATACCCTATTACACGCAAAAACGTTATTTACACGCATAAGCATTGGTTGGTCGATCGAGTTTCGAAATTGTTCCGCCTCGCGCCAACTTCGCTGACGCTTCCACTGTACACGGTGTGCTATGCGCGGACTCCCCCACCCCCCCTCACCCGCTCCTCCTTTAGATGAGGAACTTCGTATTATGGCTCAACTTTGGGAAATGAGGAGATGCGCCCCGGCGTGACCGTATAAATTCGTTATTAGTTTCGGTATTCCGCTATGCGCGGGGGGTCGTGTGTACACCGGCGACGCCTCAATCTCGCATGACGCTATGTAGGGCAAGTATCTCTATTACGAGACCGGCTGCACACAGGAGGTGACCGCAAAAAAAAAGCCGCTAAGATATTTCCGATCGGCGGTGCGGGCGGTGTTGGTGAATTGTTGGGAACGTTGATGGTGTAACGATTATTCGGCACCTTGAAAAAAAATACAATACTACGTTTTCTTTTACTATTCGTTTTTTCTTACGTATAACAACTACAAGTATTTGATTATAAAAAAAAGGGAATCCAACTTAAACAATGAATTAACGAAGAATATATTTACTACGTTGTTTATAATTGTTTTTCATTTAGTTTAATCACCGTAATTTTAGTAATTTATTGGATTTGTGGAATTGTTTTGATGGTGAATTTAAAAAAAAANAAGGTATAATTATTTTTTAATTTAGTAAGTGAACCAATTTCAAGAAATAGATGGTGTGGAAACAGGGCTCTGACTTGTAAATGATTTTTATTTTGCATCAATTTTTAAGCTGTAAATTATTTCAAAGATAATTATTTTTTTCCTTTTTTATTTTCAAAATGGTGTACCATAATTGGTACCAACAATCAATGATCATTGTGTATCTTATTGATTCAGCATGAAATGTAATTTTATAAAATGATAGTTGACCAAGCTCAGCTTTAATAGAATTTTTTTTGTAAATATTGTTTAGTTCCAATTGACAATAAATGAAATATATTAAATTAAAACATCCAATTATTGAGAATAAATAATTTTCAAACTATTTTAATGAAATTTTTTATAAATATATTTACAGATGTATCTGAAGTAAAAAAGTTGTGTATTACAGTTTTTTTTTGTTTTTTTAACTACATCGCTCAATTTTAATATAAAATAAATAAACAAACTTAAACAAAATACAGATAAATCAAAGGCGTTTTTAATTAAGTTCTTACATTAAAGTTACCAATCATTCAATGTTTTTTAGATGCTTGAAGTTGGAAAATTCCAAAATAACGGGCAATCAATTTTCTGTGATCATCGTATTTCATATGCCTGCATAATACCACAGCAAAGACTCATAAATTGTACGTATTCACTGCCACCTTCCAACAATCTATAACTGCATTCCTAAAATAATTTGTACATAACATTAAAGAATTGAGAGCACTTAAAAAACGTCATAAATTTGGCTTGCTGTTTACATAATACTTACCGAAAGTTTTTCTCCAATGTAAGCTTTTTGTTTGTCTGAAAGTGTGTTGGAATGAACAACAATTTCATTTAATTGATCTACGACCTGGAAGTAGTAAGACACAAAAAAAAATCAATAGACGCGTAGTATGTTGCATTTAATTAGGATAAATTTCAATAGTTCTCGTACTTGACTTGTTGAGTATGCTTCAAGCATAAATTTTTCTACATATGCTTCAACTTCGTTGTAATTTTTTGTCTCGCAAACTGTTAATAATTCATCTAGCCATTTTTTTGGTACAACCTAAGCAAAATAAAGGATAATTTTCAAAACAGATTCAGAAAATTGTACAACTACGACATTAAGTTATACTACTTACACCAGTCACTTCAAGTGCATCATCAATTGTGATTTCTATCCCCTTCCCCTTCAGTCTCGTAATGGATTGTAAACAAGTTATTGCTCTTCGCAAATCGCCCCCTGAAGCGTCAACAACACTTTTGAGCACGCTTTTTTCTGCCGTCAAGTCTTCCAGTTTGCATATACTCTCAAGTCTTTCGATAATTTTTTCTTCCCCCAAAGGTTTGAATCTAAATTTTGTACAACGCGAAGTTAGAGGCTCTATGATGCGCGAGACGTAGTTGCAAATTAGGCAGAATCGCGTTGTGTGAGACTCTTTTTCCATTGTTCGCCTCAGGGCTGATTGTGCAGCGCCGGTCATGCTATCCGCTTCATCCAGGATTATTATTTTAAATGGAGGGCAAGGCTTGCCACTAAAAAATATTTTCATCAATCATCTTTTTAATAAACAACTCATTTCATTGTTATGTAATTTCATTACTTTGCTTCAGAATAGGTTTTTTGTCATAGATTTGTTTGAATCATCAATTTCCTCAAAACAGCAGACAATTATAGGTTGAAACGAAATTACCTTGTTCTGATTAATACATGATCAAGTAATTTAAATCTAGAATGTATTTAAACAAGATAGTATTAAAATCTACGTTAATAAAACTATTGTAAAACTTTATACAAGGTAATTTTTTTTCAATTGTCTTTTACTAGAAATTTACAAAAGCTTTTTCACTTTCAAGCTTCTGTCATTGAAATAAAAAAGAATAATTTAATGTCTGGCAAGTAATAAGAGTCTCAAAAAGTTCACTATAAAACTCCTGATAGGCTCCACCAGTTGCCTGCTATTTTTCAAAAATACAAGATGAATTCTGCTGCAAACCTCAAACCTTTTACTTATCATCATTAGCAATTTTACACCACTTTCTGATAATACTATAAAAAAAAAAAATAAAAAAAATAATCATACTCTGGCCTTGTGTTTCCTGCTGTTAGCTGAGCAAACGATTTCACCTTGTCTCTAATAACTTGGATTCCTCTTTCATCGGATGCATTGAGCTCCAATATTCTGTCTTTAAACATATTACCAAACAGCTGCCTGGCAGCAGCCAATATTGTACTAGTTTTACCTGTACCGGGTGGCCCATATAACAGGAGATTGGGAAAGTCTCCCCCTTGCAAGCATTGTCTCAATACTTCAACAACTTCATTTTGCTCGACAACATCGTCCACTGTTTTAGGTCTGCTGTCAATTACAGAAAAGTCATGATGAGTGTGTTGCTAATACATAAACAATAATACATTGACTTCATATGTCTATTCAAGCCTGAGATGTTGACTATCAATCATGAACATTAATATATATTATAACGAAAAATTCCGAGATGTCAGAAACAAACAATAAGTGTAACGATTAAGGCATCGTTGATTGTCAAAGATTAAAAACAAGTAGCACAAAAAGTAAACAATTCAATAGCAACTCAATTGAGGTTACTTTACTTACTATTTTTCGACCCACGGGGTGGTCCGAGCTCTTGCCTCCGCATCCTTGGCTTTGGACGAAGATGGCTTCTTCACGGTGTCACCCGCGCCGATTTTTCCAGTTTTTAGAAAAGCGTGCATTATTATATGAACAATAAAAACATTCAAAATGCAACGCGATCGTGCGATGTGTCGGACTCTCAGAGAGTTTTCCCGCGTGTTACCGGTGAAATATGTCTTCTCTCAAAGTTGGTAGCATTTGGGTATGTGTATATTATATACATAGTCGTTGTTGCCAACCCTGAGAGTTTTTTCTGCTGCGTAAACACAGAGAAGAATAATCGGCGTTTTTCACGTCAAAGTCAAACTTTGGCAATTTTTTTATGTATTATTGAAGAAAAACGACGAATCAAGGAGCTGTTTTTACTTTATTTTTAGCGCAATTATTTAATATTTAATCATGGTGAGTGATTAAACGACGTTATTGTTATTTGTGATGGATGAAAGAAAAGTTTGCCATGACATAACCTATACACAACATTTTTTTTGTTATTTTAGTATTGTTATTTATTTTTTTCAGCTTTTCTACTCGTTTTTTAAATCACTAGTTGGCAAGGACGTCGTTGTTGAATTGAAGAATGATCTCAGGTACTCGTTATATTCACATTGACTAGTATTTATTTTTGTATTTACCGTGTAGTCCTGTTGATTAATTTTAAATATCGTGAGAAACAAGAAATATCTTATTACTATTCCTATTCTTATTTTAGTTAATTTATTTGGATTTGTTACAGTATTTGTGGTACACTACACTCTGTAGACCAATACCTGAACATCAAACTCATTGACATAAATGTGGCGGATGGTGAAAAGTATCCACACATGGTGAGTGTTACATCTTGTGAGACTTACCATTGTTTAGTGAGATGAAATGTATAATTAATGCATACATTGATTTCAGTTGTCAGTAAAAAATTGCTTCATAAGAGGTTCAGTAGTGAGGTATGTCCAGTTACCTGGAGATGAGGTGGATACACAACTCCTACAGGATGCTGCTAGGAAAGAGGCAACTGTAAATACCCGATAGTATATTGTAGTGTATTTTTCTTCAATATTTAGGTTTAATAATTTTTGATACAAAATATATCAAAGGACTATTTTTTGTTTTCCCAAACTTTTCTATCGATACCAAATCCACAAATGTCAGACCATGAATAAAGGTAAATTATTTTTACTTTGAATTTTCATTCTTTAAAAACCTTAGCATTTGAGAATAATCATTGCAAAGTTACCAAATTAGTTACTAGAGATACGTGACTGACTTTCAACCTTAACTGTCACCATAGAATCTAGTTAACCTTGTTAATTTGTAGTTCAAACTTTTCAACCTTTAATTTTTTGTTTTAATATATTTGCAAACAGTTAAAAAAATAACGTGTGTTTGGAGGTGTCAGCTAATATCATAGAATCATGTCAACTTTAATGCTCCTAAAATTATTATATCAATTAATGTTTGTACATACAATTAATTATACGTTTGTATAAAGAACAGTGTTCAAATAAAAATTCTAAAACTTTAAAAATATAATTGTGCACTGATGAAATTAATTACGCAACGTTGCTTATAACGATAAAAAGTGATTTTTTTTCATATCACTATGAGATAAATAAATATTAAATGAAAAAGTTCATTGGATCGTATAAAAAAAGTATCCTGTGGACCATTGGTGACTAAAAATCAGGTCACGAGAACAAATATCCGCTCTAATCGACGCTTCTACCTCGTAAACTGCCGTCAACGATCGGCAAATCGGTAAAATCCTCCCTCCTATTCATAGAAGCTCCCTCGTAGTGGCCCATCATCACCTGCAGCATAGTTTTGTGCAGTAAGTGCCAATGAGCTAGCCAACCTTCCTCTTTTTTTTCATCCCCATGGATCGGCGGGTGGTCCCAGAAGATGGAATCACAATGCTTACTTACATAAAAGTTGGCAATATGTTGGGCTCGAATGGGAAAACGATGCCAATCTTGCCCCCGTGCGGGCTCTGCTTAAGCTTGACTGATATTTTTATTTTAACTCGTATCTTGTTTTCGCAACAATCAGCTGGAAAATAAAGTATTCATCGGTTAGGAGATTTAAAAAAAAATCCATACGAACAAGACACATCGGACCCTGGACAACAACAAAAAATATTTAACAATTCCATGAATCTTTCAAAAAAATTATTCGCTCCGTGATGGCTACGTACAATATACTAACTACGTCATTTAATTTGATTCACACTTGTGTATGCGGTAAGATAAGCATCGAGAGACTTGAACCCACATATCGGTGGCTTACAAGCTCTTTCCTTTAATGCCCGACCTACATGAAAGGATTTCGATACAAACCCACATAAGTATTTCCCTGTACTTATCCAAAGTGTTTGCTCGCATTTAAAGTTGATTATTTAACAAAAAAACTGCAAACATCGAAGTAATGAAAAAAAAAAAAAAAAAAAAAAAAAAAAAAAAAANGCATAGGCTCAGCCTCTTGCGATTGAGCGCTTTTGTGGTTGTTTGCTTTTTGCAATATTGGGAATTTCAATGATGAAACATTTTTCACATAAGGTGTAAAACATCGTTTGGAAGAAAAAAAAAAAAAAAATAAAATAAAAAAAGTCAACCGACGAGTTGAGAAAAAATAAAGAATTTCTCAAAACAACGAGCACAATGAAACGTACAAACGAATAACAACCGCGAGAAAGCAGGTCAAGTATATTTACGGCCAGAAAATAGTTGTATCGATCTATCCGCGCTGTACGGTTGAACCGGAGGGGGAGAATCGTTTCAAAAAGACCGAGTGATCATTTCGTTTGTAGTTAATGAATTGTTTATGTTCTCGACACTGACTCTATTACAACCGCGTCAGTTGTAATTGTTGTTGCTTTTTAAAAAAAAATTATTTTTTTTTTTTTTATACCGTAAAGTGATTTAATTGCAAACGAGACAATGGACTTTGTATTCGATTTCAAGTTCTCTTTGTAACTCGAAAAAGCACGAATATCGAAATTCATTTGTCTTTCACGCCAACTTGTACGGAGAAAAAATTTGAGAATTGTTAATGTGTTTGTTGGATGTAAACAGACTGTTGTGCGAAACATTCAAGGATTTGAAGTACGAATTGCAAGCGTCAGTCTTGTTTTGTTGAGTTCATTTTTGCGTGACATGCACATTTAAAGTCGGAGTAACAAGATTAATTGATTACGTTGCTCACACGTTTTCTGATAAACTATTATTTGTTAGAGATTTTGAAATAGGGCGCTACTGCCTTGAATTGAAAAAAAAGGCACAGGTGGTAGGATGACTCTTGATCCCTGAAAAATGTCATCTCCGAAGTGGGGTTGCCATGATACTGTGCACACCACGTTGGAGGGTGCAACAGCATATATTTATACTACAGAGTATAAGATAATTGTGTCGTCTGTTATTTATGCTATTCAAGCCATGTCGCCCTAGAAGGGATCTGGCGTAGATCGATCCCAAACATATTTAGCTCAACGCGTGTGGCTCTCATTTTTTACCATTAATAATTAATTTAAAAATAAAATGGTATTTCGAAACACACATCGCCCACAATCCAATAAAAGACCGTTCAAACGCAGCCTCAAAATAACCAGGTCCATCTCGCCCGGGCAAGGGAGGAAGAGAGCAGGAAGTCAATTAAGCAGCTCAGCGCAAAGGTCCAAAAAAAAAAAACGTTCTTCCTCTTCTGGTACGAAATTTTCAGACTGACATTTTACCAGGGCATAACACACATTTCTCCTTTTGCCAGCCAAAGTAAACATCCCCCTCGCCGAGGGCAAGCAGCCACCACGTTTCCTGAAAATTTCGCACTGCGAAACTCGCGTCTTGACCCCTGGAACCTCCCTCCTCCTTTTTTTTTTTTTTCCTTCGCATTGCAACAAAGAGAGAGAAAAAAAGAAAACTCGTGATGGTCGGTGATGGAGCCAAGTATGGGTGTAGGTCGTAGAAGGAAAAGACACGGAAAGTATGGACAGCTGATACCATCGACGGCATCGTACGCGTCCCTGAAGTTGACGTCCAAGTTATAAATACGTAACCTACGGCTAACGCGCGTGTGCACTATGCTACTACCCCCTTAACTATTCCCTTGCCCTACATGTATGTACGTATCCTGATGGTCGCTCGCTCGCTCGCTTGCACGAGCACGTTGGTGGATGTACTTACTTGTACGTGGGGGGTTACGTAAAATCGAGCTCGTACACCCGCTGCATACGTATACCGCATGTGCTCTTAAAACTATATCTGCTCGAGCATCGGTATGTTTTAGCTCGATCGACTAGATTCTGGGGGGACTTGACGTTTTTTTTTACCGCACGCGTGGGTTTATGAAAGTGTACGAGAGAGATTGTATACTAATATTATGTGGGCTCAATCAAATTAATTATACCAACGATCTTCCCGTTTGTAGTTTATGACGTTATCCCAATAGTGTAATGTCACTTGATTTTGTACGCAAAGACTTTGCCAGAATATTATTTTTTCGCAATTAAACTATATGGTTCGATAATCCGTAATAACTTATCAGCATCACCGATATAAAAAAATGCACCTTATAGATTTAAAAAACTTGTGACTTTTTTTTTTTTTTTTTTCAAGCAGAAAGTAAAAGTTAAGAATAAAAGCTTCGCGCGAGGTCGAGCGAATCGATACCTTGCGCTTCGATTCCATCGCGAAGTTAAGTGCTTCTGAATAAAAGAAAAAAAATCGCATAAATGAGAGAGCCGTGCATCGGAAAATCAGAAAAATCTTCTCCTCTCTCACGGTGCAATTTTTTACTCCGTACGGAAGCGCTCGGTATCGAAAAATCGATTTTCACTGACCTCGAGTGTAAAATTTAAAAAGAAAAAAATTACCTAAGACAACATATCTTGCTCTTCCAAACGTGATTAAAAATGAAATTACTCACCCACCAAGTAAGCCTCTATACTAAAGTGAAAAAAAAAAAAAAAAAAAAAAATTCGAGACGTCTGACCACAACTGGTCGCATCTACTGAAATTCAAACAATCAACATTTTCCCCAAAAATTTGCTTCAAAACGTTGTCACCTCCGACAAATTTCGTGCTGCTCATAATAAAAGTCATTCGGTGCACATATAACAGGTTTCGGACGATTTCGGCTAATCGGATGAAAAATCTAATATTTTAGTGGCAAATTAAGTGGCTGTGAAATATGGAAACGCGCGCACCTACCCGCACCGCCAGCGTAGGCGGATAAATTTCATTTGCGCTGATTATTTTACGCGCTCGCACCCCTTGACAAACACCGAACGCTGTACAAACACACCCACGCACACATACTCGTCGCAGTTGCAAAATCAACGCGCTAATGAACCAACGCAAACGAGCCGCGAAAAATAACGTCGCTCTGCTGATGGGGTATTGATTTACGTTAACCCCGAGTTTGGGGCTTATTTATTGTTATTGCTTTTTTCCCGGGTAATTTTTTGATGGAGATCGTTGCTGGGGGCAACAAAAAGTCAAAGGTAATTTCAAAAAGAAGGATTGTTATTGTATCGCTGAAGGGAACTTTAATACAACATTTTTTATCAATACAACGACATTGCAACCAACTTAATTAAGAAGTGTGTCTTAATAATTATTTTTTATCGACACCCACGTGGCAAAAACATAATCTTTGAATAAAAAAAAAAATTTCAAATCATTTGAGTGAAAAAATAATATTTATAAAAACTCTAGAATAACAGGACAAAGATAACGCATTTGCAAAAAGTTGCTGAAAGAAGGTTTTTTGAGTAATCAAATGCTTCGAAAAGTCTTTCGATCATCTTGATTCCCAGTAGCTCATTACTTATCCATCGAAGTGCCCAGATTTTGCGCTTGAAATATTCGTACCCTCGCAACCTCGTGGCTAGAGGGGTGGGGCTACGGTATACTTTCGACGATTTTTCCCTGATTATTTCTCGTTGTTTCCTCTTCTGTTCCTCAACGGCACAAATTTTCGAGTGAAAAAAGACTGCTACGCTATAGAAATTAAACCGTCTGTTCGACGGAAAGTTACAGGCGAAAAGAAAAATTGCACTAACTCTACACTTGTTACTACAAATCAGCGTTTCTCAATTTCGTTCGGCCTATGAATTATATTTTTGAAGCCAATCAAAATTCATAAGTAACTCA